TAAAAATAATTCCAAACTAAACACAAAACTCTTTAAAATCCTCATCAGCTATTTTAGGGAGCTATCTAAAATTCCAGGACAAGATCTTAGTTGGGAAGGAATTTTTAGAGTAAGGAGGAAAGGATAGTCAATAATGTCCTGCCTTTTTCATGTATTACCAACAGATTTAGAGTCTATTTTGCTGTCCTATTGAATAGCTGTGTCTTTACTTCTGTGGCTCCCTTCATTCATAACATCTCTATACAATCTGATAAAATTCTTATAATAAATCCAATCCTTCCAAATGGTAATAGAAAAACTGTAAAGTTTTTGGGCTTCACGTAATCTAGAAAAAGCCTAGGGTATAGTAGTAACCTTGCAAATTATTACATGTATAAAAAAGTAGGTAGTACATTAACTTCTGCCACTTTGAGGTTTATTCTGAAAATAGCCCAGCTGTACTAAATCCAGAACTTCTGCAGAGGAAGAGTTAAAACTAACTATTGTTTATAAGGAGGCAAGATTGTATATTTACTATACGTTTTTATTTTCTACAAATTTATTTATGTATGAAATTTATATGTCGTCCAGTTACCAGCGTCTCTGGACAACTAACAACATAAATAAATTAACTCTGGCTGCAAATACAATATTAAAATTCAATATTAAAACATATTAAAATATTGATTAAATAAAAAGGTCTTAACCTGGTGCCAAAAAACATATAATGATGGCACTAGGCGGACCTCTCTGGGGAGCGCATTCCACAGTCGGGGTGCCACCACAGAGAAGGCCCTCCTCCGTGTACTCTGTCTCCTAACTTCTTTCACAGATGGTTCCCAGAGGAGGGCTTCTGTTGCCGATCTCAGGGGGCAGGAGGGCAAATAGGGAAAAAGGTGTTCCTTAAGGTATCCTGGTCCCAGGCCGTTTAGGGTTTTATAGGTAATAATGGAGCCCGGACTTTGATGGGAAGCCAATGGAGCTGATACTGGGGCTATATGAGAATAATGCCCAGTCCCCAACAGCATCCTGGCAGCTCTATTCTGAACCATCTGAAGTATCCAGACTGTCTTCAAGGGCAGCCCCATGTAAAGCGCGTTACAGAAGTCCAACCGGGAAGTAACCAATGCGTGTGCTACTGTTGCTAAGCAATCCTCCTCCAGGTAGGGACGCAGCTGATAGATTAGCTGAAGCTAAAGAAAAGCACTCCTCACCACCGCTGTCACTTGGGCTTCCAAGGACAGCTCCGGGTCGAGGAGCACTCCTAAGCTGCAGACCCTGTCCTTTAGAGGGAGTGCAAACCTGTCCAGGGCAAGGCCCAAGTCACCTACCCAGGAGCTCGAATCACCGACCAACAGGACCTCTGTCTTATCTGGATTGAGCTTCAGTTTATTGGACCTCATCCAGCCTATTACCTCGGCCAGGCACCGGTTCAGTACAGCCACTGCCTCACCTGGATTACTGATGACTCCACAGCCCAAACCTCTTTATGACCTGTCCCAGCGGTTTCATGTAGATATTAAATAGCAAAATGGAACCCTGCGGTACTCCATGGCAGAGTTGCCATGGTGCAGAGCCAAAGTCCCCCAGCACCACCTTCTGGAATCGGCCTTCAAGGTAGGAGCGGAACCACTGCTAAGCAGTGCCTCCTACTCCCAACCCCACCAGCCTATCCAGGAGGATACCATGGTTGATGGTATCCAAAGCCGCTGAGAAGTCCAGGAGGACCAACAGGGACACACTCCCCCTGTCTCTTGCACAGGTCATCATACAGGGTGGCCAAGGCAGATTCAGTACCGTACCAGGGTCTGAAGCCAGACTGAAATGGGTCCAGATAATCAGTTTCATGCAAGAGTACCTGGAGTTTTCCTGCCACCACCTGTTCCAACACCTTGCCCAAAAATGGGATGTTGGCCACCGGTCTATAATTGGCAGCTATTTCTGGATCCAGAGATGCCTTCTTTAGGACAGGCCTGATTATCACCTCAGAGAGGCATTAATAACCTCCAGAAACCAGGAATCAATCCTGTGTTTGGCTTTGGTCAGCAGCCATGAAGGGCAAGGGTCAAGTAAACAGGTGGTAGGATGTACTTATCCAAGCACCTTGTCCACAACATCGGGCCGTATTAACTGAAATTCATCCATTAATACCTGACCAGATGGAGTCACTGGTGTCTCCCCTAAGGGATCTAAATCAGTTGTGGAGTCCAGCTCGTGACGAATCTGAGCAATTTTCTCCTTGAAGTGCTGGGCAAAGTCGTCACAGCGGGCCATCAATGGTGGTACAATTACTTTCATTTCTCTGTTGCTGTACTGGAAATGAAGTTGTTCCCCATGTGATATAACTTCTACTCTTTCTAGAGGGTCACAAAATTCAAAAGTATTTATTGGGAGTGACCCAACACTCTGAAGAAATCTATCTATTAATTATTTTTAAAGGATAATTTCAATAGAACCAACTGTTGTTCCTACACTGACAGGGCACCGAGATTTTCCATCAGCCTTTAATTCTTCATCTTTTTGATTATATTATATCTTCACTGACTACCAAGACCTGAATTTGACCACAGAATGCACATAATAGTAACCATAAAACAATTACTTTATATTTAATACATCTGGCTTAAGTCCAGCCTACACTGGATTTTGGTTTGGGGAGTTTAAATCTGGCTCACCAGTTAGAGCATCCTGTCAAGTATCTTACATTATGTCTTGTAAATATGATGCTGTGGCAGAGACCCTTCACTCACCATCCCCAGTTAGAGCTGGGAGACGCTCTAATTCCCTTTGGGCTGAAGCCTGCACTCCATGTGGCACCAATGCCTCTTGATTTCTTACACTGCTGCTGGGAGGATTTTACCTACTTCTTGAGGGATTCATCTAGTAGTATAAAAAGCATATAAATCATTTTCTTATGTTGCTGAGAAGTTTTTGGCTGATCCTGTGGGTTTTAATATTTTTACTATTTTTGAAGCATTCCAATTCAACTGTTTTTCTTTCCCTTGCTAGATTGTTTATTTGCCATAATTTTTTCTGGCCTACATTAGAGCCTAACTTATTATTCATTGTGTCAGATTTTGTATGTATGCCCACTAGATTCCCAGTTCTCTTGCAGAGTTCAGATAATAATATTACACCAGAAATTTCCTAATTAAGGCCAGTTCTTTCACAACTGTCAACTGCTTTGTAAAGGAAGGAATAAACTATGTAACCTTAAATGAAACCACTCCCAGTAAGTAGAGCCCTGACCATCTCCTAACAGGAAACTTCCAGATCTGAAATGTGGGAGGCTTCATGGGCCAATTCCGTACAGTTGTTTTTCTGTGTTGTTGGACTTAACCTTTCTGGACTTGTAGCTTGGACAGTTTCAGCAATTTCTGCCTAGGCATTTTCTGTTGCTAAATTAATTTCCACTTTTACAGTCAGTTTAGTAAAGTTGTTCTAAGAAGAATGTTCCACAGATCAATAGAGAGTACAGGTGCGAGTACTGGGTATTTCATTTTCCCCTGATTTTCTTAGTGTAAAAAAAAAAGGATAAGATTTCTTTTTCTTTTGTTTTTTCTCCGAAGCAGGTAATAGATTGGAAGTGGGGAGAAATCCCCTGGGACTTAAACCCCTGCCCATGAGGCCCAGCCTCATAACTCAATGACAAATTTTTGGAAAATGAACTGAATTAAACGAAAATGAAAATAGATAGCTGGAGTTATATCTAAAGGGTACAGCTTGCAAAACCTATCTCTATCAAGATTTTCTCAGTCGTAATTGTTCCCTCACATAATAACATCTGCACACTCGCACCCATAAACAGTCTCACACATAAACAGCCATGCTACACAGAATGGCAGGCTGTTAGATATGAGTCCAACAGGCAGAAAAGCCACTGGGAGAGACCAATATTGATGTTGATAGAAGGGTGGAAGGTAAACAGGCAAGGAGGTGGGTCATTCGTAGCAGACGCTTTTCCTTAGATGATAGTTTCTCCTCCCACTACAGGTGCAAGCTCCCTAGTAAAACACTAGTAAAACCCTTCATCTGCCAATTGGCCACAGTGCTTGGCTGGCAAAGGAAAGCTAGGCACTCTCTCTCACTTTGCCACCTCTCTTTTCCTTTGGCATTTGGTGTTCCACAAAACATAAAGGGAGTGTAACTGGAGTGTGGCCACTACCACACCAGTGTTCTCTTGCTCCACTGCCTCTACCTTCTGGTTGGAATATCCTCCGCTCTTTCCCACTAGGCTCAGGGAGCCCCAAAAGTCATAATCTGTTTGCCTTCTTTACCGGAAGGGAGAATTGAAAGTACTGGCGTTAGAGCTCCTCAACTTACCCTCCACCTTGCTTCTTATTCATTATACCTCAACCAGGAACTAATACTCAGCCCACAGGCCTTTGTAAAACACCACACTGAATGTCCAGTCCCTTTCACAGGAAGACTTAGTGAATCTGGTCTTCTCTTTCATATCCTTCAGATTCTTCCTCAGCTCCTGGCCACAAAGAGCTGGTTGACAGAGCAGCATGGCTCCAGCAGGCAGCAGCTTCTGTTCCAAAGCCTTCAAATAGTACAGATAGGGAGATAAAATATATTCTTGTCTGATGCCTCTGTCTACAGGGAATCTTTCCTGTTTCTCCATATTCTTCCTAATATTTATTTATTATATTTATGCCCTACCTATATTCCTTTCCAAGGAACTCAAGATGGCTTACATAGGTCTCCTGCTCAGTCTTATCCCCACAACAACAACCCTGTGAAGTAGAGAGAGTCTATGAGAGTCTGAGGCTGAGAGTCTATGAATGATCCAAAGTCACGCAGTTTGTTCCCAGTTTGTTCCATAGATGAGTGAGGACTTTAACTCAGAATTCCTGAGTCCCAGTCCCACACACTTAACCACTAAGCCATACTAGCTCTCAGTACTAAGAGCACTTTTTAATCCATGATATGGGTTATGCATCAGACAGTCAGATGGTAAAGTCTGAGAGATGCATACAATTTCCCAGATTTAAAAATATATCTGTTTTGATTTTCAGAGGTGGAGGAGAGTTAGGACTGGGATGGCATAAAGAGGGCTGCATGATGAAGAAGCACAATGGTATCCAAGACCTTGAGGCCTGCATAAGGTTGTTACATGATATGGGATATTCTCAGCCAATGCATACAGCCCTGATGACTCTGAGTGCTGGAGGAGTTCTTGCAGGAGCCCTCTACAATAATCATCCCCACCTGCTGAGAGCTATGGTTTTGCAAGTGAGTTTATTACTATTTTATCTCATTCAGTGAGACTCAGGATAGTCTTTTTTTCCTGGATCTATTTGGAAAAGATCTCTCTCAGGACTTCTTTGTAAAGAGAGAGAGAGAGAGTTGCCAGTCTGTGATTCAGAAAGAACTATAGGTAAAACAGTAGGCAGAGGAGGTGCTGGTCTCAGAATAATGCCAATATCTGAATATATGAGCCTGGTCGCTTTGCCTGTCTTCCCCTCCACTCTCTCATTTGTTTTACACTCTTTAAGACCAAACTCCTGCTCATGGATGCACACATTAATGTGATGAGAGCAATTCAAGGTGTCATGGAAGCCAAGGAGTCCACGCTCTCTCACTAGGCTAATCTCCTGGCAGGGCCATCCAAGACAGAATTGTCAATGCTGAGACAACAGACAAAGACACATCTACTCTCTTCAGAAGTAACAATTATATCCACATAAGAGAATGGATATTGCTAATTGTGATGGGGGCAGAGCAACTCCTGAAAGGTAGTTACTGGGTGGCACTGGTAGTTCAAGGTAATACTGGCAGAAGATCTTTCACAGACAGTGACAGTTATGCTCAAGCTATGGTTAGCATTGTGCAGAAGATAAGCTACTTCTCAATATTTCTTACATTGCAAACCCTATGATGAAACAATTAAAAACATGAGATGCGATAGTAAAACATGAGATAGTGCCAGAGAATGGGACTTCTGGGTCAGGAGGCAGTCAGTGAGCAGAGGACAAGTATGAAGAGCACTGTTGCTAATGACTCAACTAGATCAAAGCTGAAAGTAAGACTAGTGGCTTACATGCAAGAGGCCGAAGTGAAGTCCAGTGCTGCACAACACCTACAGTTGGAACATGAAATGTGAGAAGTATGAAACAAGGCATACTGGAATCCAGAAAACAAAATATGTAACAGTCAAATATCACAGTTCTTGGCATGAGAGGACTAAAGTGGACTGGAATGGGATATTTTCAGTCAGACAAAGCGTATGTTGTTTCACTCTGGAAATCACAATCTCAAAAGAAGTGAAGTGGTAGAGCGAAGTGGTAGATTTGCATTATTGACCAATTGACCGTGAACCAGTAGAACTGTGGGCAAAGAAGAAATTAAAAAGACAATTCAGTGAGCAGAAAGAAATAGAAGACCTAGATGAATGACAGAAGAAACACAGCTCCTAAGGATAGGCAAGATGCAAATTCAAAAGCTGACAGAAATAGGGTCAAAATCCTGAACGTAACTTTTCAGTGACTGTAATGTAAAGACAAGTAGAGAAAAAGAACCATTATAATACCAGTACAAAGAAATTGTAGAGAACAATAAAAGAGGAAAAAACAAAACTCTTCCAGAAGACCCAAACAATCAGAAGGAACTTCAAACCTTGGTTAGGAATGCTACAAGACCAACAAGGGACTATCCAGTGCCTTTTTTGTAAAGAAAAAAAAAAAGGTGCCGGAACTCACCTCTTGGGGTCACACTTTTACACTAAAAAAGATTTTCAATTCACCAACTTTTTTTGAAATAAATAGGGGAAAGGGCAGGGACGAAGGAGGGGAAAGCCCGGTTGCAACACCAAGGAAATATAAAGAGACCTTCAGCCTGGCCCTCTAGGAAGGTGGCGAGGAAAAGCCCAGCCCCACAGCAGCCGTGGCCCTGCTCAGAGGTAAGGCTCCGATGCAGGTCTTCGTTTTGAATGCCTCCTCCTATGCCACACTTGTTTTCATGCACTGGATCTTGCAAACGTGCCCTCCGCATCCTTCCTCCTTCGCAGTTGTGGGCGCAGCATTGGTAAACTTCATAGGGGCAGTGTTTGGTTTTGGTCCCAGCAGAAGCAGTAGAGCAACCATTCCCAAGGCAGGGGGAAATGCTCCTTTCCACAACCCTGCCCCCTCCGGCATCTCTTGCGGCTCCCCGCCAGGCGCCCCTCACCCGCCTCTGGGCACCCCCACTTGCATGTGCTCACCATGCCCAGGCGCGGCCTGGATCCTGCAGCGCTCGCCTTTCAGCATCCTTCTTCCTCTCTATCGTCCTCTGGTTTCAGAGATCTCTGAGTGAGTCCAAAACCATCTCCAAGCAGGCCAGCTGTTGGCTCGCCACCCACCCAGCCAGGCGGGCAGCGGTGGGTATGGGGACTCCGAAACCTCTGAGGTGGGCTGGATAAATGGGCATGCTAGGCCAGATCCGGCCTATGGGCCGTAGTTTGAGGACCCATGCATTATGGGCTACAGCAAAGCCTTTCACTCTGTGGATCATCAGAAGCTATGGAAGTTCCTGAAAGAAATGAGTATGTCTTAGCACCTGATCGTCCTGATGCATGACCTGTATCCTGGACAAGAAACCACTGTTAGGACAGAATATGGGGAAGCAGAATGGTTATCTCTAGGCAAATGTTCCAAACCAGGGTGCATTATATCTCCCTGTCTGTTCAATGACTATACAGAAATACCATAAGGAGATGGATCTGAGGAAGGAGGAGCGAAAATTGGCAGAAGATGCATCAATAATTTCAGATATACAGGTGATACTGTATTACTGACAGAAGTTGGAAAGACTTGAAATGACTCCCAATAAAAGTGAAAGAAGAATGTATAAAAGCATGATGGCACTTTATAATCTTTTCTAATTCATTAATTGCTGACCTTCCAAGTCTCAGTTTTCGAATTTTAAGCCGAAGACTCCTTTTGAATTGATGATTGAGCAAAGGTATGGAAAGCCTTTCACAATTTCAATATTTTCACTGATAAGTTGCATAATTCTTATGTAGTCATGGTTTTTGTTTTCTCAGTGCTCCTCTGTAATCACGCTTTTATAAATCATTTCATCAGACACCAGGGCCAAGATCATCCACATTCTCGTATTTCTTTCACACAATGATTGTGAAAGCTGAACAGTGAAGAAACTTGACAGGAAGAAAATTGATGCATTGGAGACATGGTGCTGGCAGAAACCTTTGCAAATACCTGGACTTACAGAAAGAAGAACAAGTGGGTCCTAGATCAAAGCAAGCCAGAACTTTCCCTGGAAGCAAAAATGACATACTGAGGCTGTTGTGCTTTGGGCACATTGTGAGAAGGCACTGGAGGGGACAATAATGCTAGTAGAAGTGAAGGCAGAAGAAGAAGATAACCAAATATGAGATCAGCCACTTCCATAAAGGAAGCTGGAGCCTTGAACTTAGGAGAGCTGAGCAGGAGTGCCAAGGACTGCAGCAGACTGAAATAAAATGACCACACATTTGGTTTGAATTGCCATTTCCATAGTTGCATCCTAAGTCAGGGCTGCGTGTAGCACAGGGGACACTAACAACCCCTGGTCCTGCTGCTTCCCTTCCTGTTCATCTCTGAGCATTCTGGCCATCTCTGCTTACCTTGCCCTTTCACTCTGACTATGGTGAGAATTTGGCCCAGAAGGAGAGACCAAGCAAATGGGTAGCAGTGATGATGGCTAGAAGCTGTATTGCCCTGGGTAACCTTAATCATATTTCCAGTGAGAATGGAACAGGGAAGCAACATGGCCTTCACACTACTATGAGGTTGGTGTCCAAGCTGTTAGGAAGAGGAAATGGTTGCTTGTCTGGAATGGGAAAAGTGAACCCCAAGTGTGTTGTCCTTACTGGATCAGTGCAGGTATAGCTACACAATGCACAATACAAGTACAAATGAAGACATATTTGTACAAACTATAGATTCATATAACAAAGCGTAGCTCATAATAAAGCATACTCTTAAGCATAGCAGCTGGATCATGCTGGGATTTGTAGGCATCTTTTCTGTCTATCCTTGCATGGGATTGTGCCCTACAAGCAGCTATGTGCTGAAAATATTTTCCTCAAGTCTTAATCTTTAATATCAAGGAAGAGTCTATTAATTTCTTGCACTGACAAAAAATATAGAAACTGGTTAGATACACTAGAAAATACTTGTAGGTTTATATTTGATAACCTCTATGCTTTTTTCTGATAGGCCCCTTTCTTGGATGTTTTAAATACCATGTTAGATCCTGATCTTCCCTTGACTATTGAAGAACAAGAAGAATGGGGAAATCCATTGGTTGATGAAAACTGCAAGAAATATATTAAAAGCTACTGTCCATATCAGAATATCAGGCCACAGGTATCACCTCATCTCTTAACGCCATAAAGCACATTTGATACAACTAAGCTATTGGATTTGAAGAGTTCTTAAACAGTTTAAACAGGTTTTAGTAATCAGTGAGATCAGTCCCCATACACTATGAAAGTTTAACAGTTTAAAACTACTGTATAAAATAGGAGTCAAAGCCAAAGTAAATCCTAGCAGTAGTGCAAAGATTTAAAATACAGCACAGAGCTTCAGCTACTGGGCAGTATAAAAATATAATATTTTTTAAAGCATTAAATCCCCAATTTTTACAACAGGAGAGCAGGTAAGTTAGGATGCAACCCTGTACATCCTTAACTAGATGTAAATCCTGTTGAACATGGTGGACTGGTTTGTACATTATGGTAAGCCACCATGGATTAATTCATCCACAAAGTGCCACAGCACGTCAGCCACCATTTTGAATAAGGAAACTGCGGTGGGCTTGCCATCACTTTTAGAACTATGACTATGTCTTAAAGAACCGTCAGAATCCTACAGCAACCTGTGAGTGTACAGTTCAAAGAGTCTTTGAACTCATCTATTTGAGTGTCTTTTATCAGACTAGCCTGAACAAATTTGAATTCTAATAAATATAGTATAGTGTGCAACAAACGTATACTTGAATATTTGTGACAGTAGATAAACATCCATTCTTTCTCTATTTTAAACTTGAAATATGAGGTGATAATAATTCCTAACATTACTAGTTAATTTCCAACACAATAGTAGAGAAGCCAGACAAAACAGACCATTTTATATATTACTTGCTCTACATGGAAATAATCTTTAATTAAGAAATAGAGCCTACGATATCACCAGAGACCACAGTAAGCTGATGTTGTTGTATACATACCCATCAGTCATCTGCTAAAGTTGTTCTTTCTATACAGCTGCAGTAGCAAAAACATTTGACCCACTCCTCATAAGTTATATACTCGGCTTTTTTATCTGTAGAGTACCTCCTTTTTAGATTTAGTTGATGGGGAGGATCCCACCAGCTGCTAACCACTGACCACCAGTCAAGTAGAATAGGACTGCAAAAGTCTAATTCACTGAACATTATCTGGAGGCACATGATGTAGCAACCTTGCTGAAGCAAGGGCCAGTCAGTGGATGGATAAGAAAACCCATTAGAGCTGTTTTAAGTTTTATTTAGGGCTGAGCCAAAAAATCCCCATCCAAAGTCCCCCCCCCCACCCCTGCACTCACATAAAGCTAAGTTGGGGGATAACTTTTGATGGGGTTGGGGCAAAACAAAATGACAGGTAGCCAAACTTACAGGAGACAGAACTTACAGCAGATGTGCTACCTGCAGTTGCAAATTATCCAGATTTTTTAACAAAATAGTGAGTTATGAACATTTGATTGCTTAGGGCAGCATATGAACCCAGAAACTAACAAGTTAGAGGGAAGAGAGCAAAATTAAATGGTGATGAAAAAGTTAAATTAGTCCTTAACATAGCATGCCCTTTGGTTGTGTTAAGCATGAGGAGGAGGAGCTGACAAGTTGTCTTTGAGTGTCTTTCTAGCTTGAGTCATAAAGGAAGTTTATAGAGGAGTTTTAAGTAAAAGCAAGCACAACTGTTTACTAAAACGTAGATAAAATCTTCCCATAATCGTCAAGTATGGCTATGGCACGGGTGATTTCTTCATCCATATAATTACATTTGCCTAATGCTTCTCTCCTGCTGACATTGCAGAACAACTTCCATCAGGTTAAAAATTAATGGCTGCACAGATTGGCATCAGTAACTTCATCCTGCTAACTCAGACATTTGCTCTTCAACTCTCTCTCTCTCTCTTTCTCTCTCTCTAGAATTATCCGTCTGTTTTTATCACAGTCTCTGAAAATGATCAACGAGTACCTCTGGCAGGGTTATTAAGATACATCTGTAAACTTAGAAAAGCTGTAAAAGATCATGCTCAAGCCAACAGCACAAATGAAAAAGGTAACAGTAGAAATCCTAAGATTTAAATAACATTTCTGAAATTGTATGAAACATAGGTTCATTATGTATTGATTTAATTTATAACCTGTCTTCTCACCCAATAAATGGCACTCAGGTTGGTCAACAGTAATAAATCCAAGATCACAATATACAAAGTCAAAAGAGAGCATATATAAATACTAGTTATATATTGCATGCAGTGCAAAGAAATTGGGATATAATATACTATCTGCAACCTCCATAGATTAATCTGATTTCCCAAGGAGATTGTTAGATAGGTTTGAAATGGCCAGTATTGTTAGCATTAAACATAAATAGTTCTGTAAGGTTTTCAGTGACATTTATTATTTTATTTCATTTATTTCATTCCATTTGTATTCCACCCCATAACCCAAAGTTTCTCTGGGTGGCTTTCAACTGCTAAAACAGCGTAAAAACATACATAGAATACAATAAAACATTTCAGCCTTAAAGCAAAAAATCCATGGGTGGCACCATGCAGCAGCAACTTGAATGAACGGGGGCAGGAGGACTACAGAAGCAAAGGTCACAACTATGCATCTCCCACCCTGAGGAACACTTAGCCAATTTCAGATTGATTAATTAATTTAAAGCCAATTTCAGATTGATTAATTAATTTAAAGCTTTTATATACCATTCAACCACTAGCATCTCAGGACAGCCTTACAGTAAAAGTAGCATAAAATGAAATGAAGCACAGCATCCAAATAATTCCAATAAAATCAAACCCACATTAAACCTAATCAAACATTAAAATAATGGGAAAATAAAAAGGTTTTAGCCTTGCACTGAAAGGAATAGAAAAGATAGAGATTTCTGAGTGTTTTGCCTCTGCTTACAAGGAGGACAGGCTAAGGTGTGGCCAGGATATATTGCATCTCAGGCTGAGACTCACTTCTCTCCTCCCGCTGAATCCAACTCAGTACTAGCTCCAAAGCTGCTCTCCTGACCTTGGAGCCTCAGCCAACATGGAAAGAACCACACCAGCTATGAGAGCAGAGGGAGGAAACTCTGAGATAAAAAAAACCCAGCTCCAACTGCAGAATGTGTTTCCAAGTTTGGAACTGGGACTACAGCCTCTCTGTGACCATCGAAACAGTGCCTAGTTGCCCTATGATTGTGCCCTTAATCTATCAAGTCATTTTTATAAATTTGATTCAAAATACTTATTATATTGATTTGACTTGCTTGTCATGAAGTATCAGTCTTTTGGTGTTTTTATTAGAGGATGTAGATCCAATAGTTAGAACTTATGTGAATTTATGCCTTTGTGGAAAAACCCACTTGTAAATCATTGTTATGAGCCATTTTGTCCAATAAATGGTTAACTGATTCTTGACTTCAAAATACTCTTCAACAGAATCATTCTGGCCAGCACAATACATATTTTCTATGTGTATAGTTTGCACAGTAGCCAAAGCACTCTGGGCAACTCCCAAGTCAAGACTTAAAATACAGTTACTTAATAAAACATAATGTGAAAATTTTAAAATTTCAGAATAAACCCAAATTAAAACAAAAAACAAAATTCAGCAGCAGGGCAAAGATCTTAAAACAGATTTAGGTTTCTTTTAAAATGAAGAACAGAAAAGCCTAGGAGAATAACAGGTTCTTTTAGTAGCAGAAATAGTACATTATATGTGCCAAATGGACATCTCTGGGAAAGGCATTCCACAAGCAGGGTGCCACCACAGAAAAGACCCTCTCCTTAATAGTTACCCACTGTCAAGGCACCTAGAAAAGGACCTCTGAAGGTAATACTTCAAGTAACCTAACCCCAAGCAGTTCAAGTCTTTACTAATTAAAACTACTACTTTTAATTGAGTCTGTAAACCAGTTTAGATTACAAAGCATTGGTGTAATGTCATATCAACCACTTTGGACCAGCTCTAGTTCCTGGACCATTTGCAAAGAGAGCTCCACATATAGTACACTGCAGAGGTTACCAGAATGTTGATAACTGTAGCTAAGCAATCTTAGTATAACTAAGCTTGTGGCTGGGATGTTTGCCTGAGCTGTTAAAGACACTGACCATGACTGAGACCATCGGTGCCATGACAGTGGTAGATCCCAGACTACCCACAAGCTATGAACCTGATGTCTTAGGGGAGGTGACCCCCCCCCCCGAGTTTGAACCCCAGCATGAAGTGATCTGACCATAACAAGGGGAATTGGTGTAAATTTCCTACTTTCAACTCACCATCCACCTGCTCAGATGAGAAAAAATCAACGTGTCTTCCTAATGTATTGAGCCAATAACATGCTGGGACAGTCCCATGACTGTCACTGTGTCCATGAAGTCCTGAACTGCCCTAAATCCAGTTGCCTCAGCATGGAAATTGAGAGTTCCCAGAATCCTCAATACCAAATCTTAGACTACCTCTGTCAATGCAGGCAGAGAGAGAAATGGGCAGTGGAGTGCACAGTGCACAAGCAGAATCCTCAGTTCTCCCAGCTATTCAATGCAAAACATTTAAGTTTGGCGCTTGAATAGAAGGAAGTCTGGAAAGGGAGATAACATTCCTATAGAATAAAGCAGCGGCCCTGTCCCACAACTCAGACTATGTTGGTGCTGCATCCAATACTCAGGAGGGCACAAATTGAGAGAAACTAAGCCCTCCCACTCCCACCTCCCAGGTTGTTGTAATGCATTCCAAGTTGGATTTCTCATCCACAATTAAATCCTAGATTTGAGTGGTGGGCCCAGTACTCGGCAACAACAGCACCATCTGTCCAAGCTGGCAAGGCGGCCAGGGACAAAGTGATTTGAGGAAGAAGTAGAAGAGGGACCAGGTGCCACTCCTCTTCAGCATGACCACACTAATAGGAATTTCATTTTATCTGTCTCACCAGGTTGGTTATCCAATGAATTTCCCAAGCATGTATAAAAAAGACTCCGTAGAGAACCCTAGCCTAACAGATACCCACCCACTCCAAATATTAGCTAGATATTAACTGGTAATGGGGAGAACCAAGTTCTTTGTTGTCCAACAGTAGTTGTTGCTACTGGCCTTCAGTGCAACAGTTAATAAGGAGCAGGTGCGACATGATTTTGAGAGTTTCCACCACCTCCTCCACTGTGCTCACTGGCATACTCTGCTGATGCTGATTGCCAGGGTGCAGTGATCTCACCAATGGTGAAGTTCTTGGCTTTGCTAATTGGTCTCTCTTTTTTTCTTCCAAAGCAGTAGGCAACCAAGGCAGGAGGAGGGGGAGAGACAGACATCTTCAGCCTGGTGCTTTAGATAAAATCAGGCTGTCCATAAGCAGCAGTCATATAAAAATCAATATTTTGTGTGCATACACATCCATAAATGATGCTGCTTCTGTGTATGATGCAGTCCAGAATCATTACAAAAAGCTATATGTGAAGAGTTCTTAAGCACAATAACAAGATCATCCAGGAATGATAACCCTTTAGAACAGATTTTTTTTGGGGGGGGGGGGGCTGCCAGAAGGAAGGAAAAACCTTTCTATTAGCAGTACCCATCCCACTGGCAGTGAGCAGCACTGAATTGAACCCATGTGATATTAGACATGGACAAGATACCACAAAGCCACATGTCTGGCTATAGAACTTCTGGCCTATTAAGTGAAACTTATTCCACCAAGATTAATTTCCTAGTTCTTCCTGTTTGCAAAAAATGGGGATGGTGGTGGAGCTAGAACTGTATGCTTGTGATAAACTGTGCAATGTGAAGGGGTTCCATCACAGAACTTAGGACATCACATTTTTGGCTTGAGTATGATTTGAAATGGTCTCCTTTTGTGAAAATGAAGTAGACAGTGAGGTAGAAAACCTTAGGAAGGTATTTCATTCACAACAGTCATTAAATTCCAAAACATTAAGGAAAAATATTCACTTTCACCACTACCAGAAAATATACTTGTTTCTGTATGGAAGAACATGCTTTCTGCCCCATGCTTCCCTCATATTCTCCTGGCCTTCTTTTTTTGTTTCAGAACTTCAGACACCTAATATTATCTTAGATATTCAACCAGGAGGCAGCCACTGTGCTCCATCTTTAAATCAGGTATGTTTGTTGCAAATCCAGTTAACAATAGCATGCCTGCAATATCTGTGATGCTCTGTAGATTTGCAAGTTATTCTCAGACTTCTCCACCATTGCTTATTTACACACATCCCTCCTGCCAAAATCCAGACTTCCCAGCTGAAGAACAGTCTTCCATGATGTTATTGAAGAAAGACTTGCTGTTTCCCCATCACAAAGTTATGCTAGGACGTCATCTCACAGTGGCATCATTTTTACAGATTTGCCACATATTGCATTGCTCTGACACCATACATAATACATGATCAAAACAAAGATCAGGCAACTCTTTGTAGAGCACAGGGTGAATCCATTCATTAGCAAAAAGTGCTCTGTGGATCTGAATCATTGGATTCATAGGTAGAAGTCTGTGGGGATCAGAGTGAGAGAAAGAATCTGAGTTTTGACAACAGTAATGCCAACAAGATGAAGAGCAAATGCTTCACTGTATGTTCATGGAATTCATATTTGTTCTGCTGAAATTGAATACATTACCAGCTGTAGAAAATATCCATCTTAGAATTCTTAAAGGGCTCAAATATGAAATTGCGGACCTTCTTCCAAAAATATGTAATATATGTAAATATGTACGTATCTCAATATATTCCCTACGATCAGTCTCGGTACCAGAGCACTGAAGAATTGCCAATATAACTTTTTTTTTAAAGGGATCCACTTAGGATCCAGGAAATTGCAGTCTAGTTAACTTGTCTTCTACAAAATTAATTGAAAGTGTTATTAGTAAGCCCTACTGAAAATGAATTAGCATGATTTCTGCAAAGGTATGTCCTGTCTCGCTACCTTGTTAAAGTTATTTGAGAGCATCAAGAAACACATGAACAGGGGTGATCTGATAGTCATGGTTTACTTGGAGTTCCAAAAAATTTTTGAAAAGTCCCTTACCAAAGACTCCTTAGTAAACCTACCCACCATGAAATAAAGGGGAAGTCCTTTTACAGACTGATAACTGATTAAAGATTAAAGAAAGGAGAGAATAGAAATAAATGACAATTTATCCCACTAGTGGAATGTAAACAGTAGGGTCCAACAGAATTTTCCATGGGTGCCATGACTTTTCAACCAATTCGTAAACATTCTGGAATTAGGAATGAGCAGTGAAGCAGCCAAATTTGTTGAGGGTGGTTAAAACAAAAATGGATTGTAAAGCACTCCAAAGAGATCTGTCCGAAGTGGGAGAATGAGCATAAAATAGCTAATATGGTTCAGTTTAAGCAAGTGTAAAGTAATGCACGTTGAGGTGAAAAATTCCAATTTCAAATATAAACTGTTGAGATCTACAGGTTGTGATGGACAACTCAATGAAAATATTGACCCAGTGCACAGGTGCTAAGAAAAAGGTAAATTCCATGTTAAGGATAATTCAAAAGAACTTGAAAATAAAGCTGTTGGTGCCGTACATCCTTGGACAAATCTATGGTGCAACTGCATTTAGAATATTGTGTACACTTCTGCTTAGTGTAGCTAAAACAGGATTATTGTAGAGCTGGAAAAAGTGCAGAAAACAGCAACTATAAAAGGATCAAGGAGCTGGAGCAACTCACCTATGAGGAAAGTTTATAACAGCTGACATGGTTTAGCTTAGAAATAAGGCAAGAGAGATAGAGGCATACAGAATTATGCAGAAAGAAGATAGGAAGATACTTTTCTCCATCTCCAGTAATACTAAAATCTGGGGTCATCCCATGAAGCTGATTGGTGGAAGATACAGGACAGATAAAAGAAAATATTTCTTCACAAAGTGCATAGTAAAACCGTGGAATTCACTTCCATGAAATGTAGTGATGGCCACCAATTTGGACAGCTTTAAAAGTTGATTGAACAAATTCATGGGGGGGGGTGACTTCCTCCAGTAGCCGAGGCAGCATGCCTGTGTACACCAGTTGCAGGGGCACTTGCATAGGAGGGAGCTGTTGCACTGATATCCTGCTCAGAGGACCCTGTGGGCAGCTGGTTTAATGCTGTGTGAACTGAATGCAGAGCTAGAAGGACCCTTGCTCTGATCCAGCAGGGCTCTTCCTATGTTTTTTATGCACAGTCTGACAATCTGCATAACTAATACCACTGCACTTCTCTCTACAATAAAAACTTTATAATAAAGGCTCAGGTCAAGTAGGTAGCATCCAACATTTTCATTTGAATGCTCATCGCCTCTTCCATGAACAGAAGCTCTTCTGTTCACTAAGTAAAACATGGGATAGCAGCAATGTAAAGATTTGCTGTATTTGTAAATAAATGCATGGTCTAAGTCTAACAGGAATAAACATACGGGATGTCATTTCTGTGTTTCCTCAAGCTGAACAGCCTGATTCACAAGTCAGAGCTGAACAGCTACAGCTCTTGCTAAATTGTTCTCAGTAGCACCAAAAATCTTTTCTGTGGGTGAAACTGATGAGCAGTAGTGTAAATTCAGTCATCTTCCGTGCACTTGAAGAGCTGATTGATACAGTTCAATATGCTTTGACTGGGTTCGTGTGTTAGACTTGGGCTTTTTAAGTCACATTTCCATTCAGTAACCCAGTACTGATGGTAGCAATATGGTCATGGGCTTCTGAATGTGTATCAGAACCATGCCACACTCTTTAAAGTGGGTTGGATCCAGAAACTGCCACTGGTAGATGACAGGGCTCCTTCCATTCATAGGGAGCAACTCTCACTGGCAAAGTGAAGGAGGTTGTTGTGATGAACAATTCCCTCCTCTTCCACACTATCCCTATGCTCAGCAATGGAAGGTTGTGGTACCCTCTGGAAATAAGAGGGAGGAGGTGCTTGGAGCTGCAGAGTAAGGGAGAAATCAGCAAAGATCACCAGATAAAGCTCTCATGTGACAGAACTGAAGCTGGATCCAAGCCAAGGTTTTCTACCCAGTTATAAATCTCAACATACACAGTAGTAGACAAAAATATTTCCTCATTGCATTTTTCTACATGCACTTGTATTTGGCTATTGTGAGAGGAGAGATATGAACTTCCCTGCTTAACATCGAATGCATACACATACCCTAGACACTTCATCCCCTGGCTTTGGTGAAAGGAAGCAAAGCAATTTTGAAAGCTTTTTATGACACCTGCTTCAGAGTTGCTGCTGCTGTTCTGGTCACAAGCTGTGTTATACCTGACAGTAATGCTCAATTCACAGGATGCTTTTCTGATCTCAGTGAAAAGCCCATTACAGCAGCTGCCATTTTCTAAAGAGAATTGAGCAGGAAGCACTCATGATTACTCTTCAGACTGCAGGAGAACCCACATTATTATCCCAAATGTTACAGGAGCACGGATAGTATTGGAAAGAGACCAGCAATGAACCTGGAAAGTGCTGGTAATACTCTTTGAAGTGTGCAAAAGACTATGAAGAGTCTGTTGCTCTCTAACAATCAATTGTTGTTTGTTTTGTTTTTTTAATTGTTTCAGGTTGCAACACAACTAGCATTTGTATACAGCGAGTTTAGACTTGACAAGCAGGAATGACTGCACACCTGGAGTTTTCCTCCTGATTGCTAAAGCCAGAGGAAAATCAACTTTACCATATGAGAAACTGGTTAAAATTAATTAACCTTGTGGCTAACAATGACCAAATTATAAATTGTCATTCATGCATCATTTCATTCATATTCTGGGAAAAATTGGTCATACTCATGTTTATAATCCTCCAAACTTTATTTTAACGAAATAAAACCTGTGCTTATTTGAGTGAATTCTATTCTGCTTTGTTTGAGTACATTTCACCATACCAAAGTTTCCATAATTTGGTTCACAAACAATACCCAAATTAGAACACTTGCTGAAATAAAATTGTTTTTTTCCATCACCACCTGCCCAAACAGGCAGCACTGGGGCAAGACAAACCTTCCCAGGCAAGGTGAGCACCACACTTGGGAAGGTCCTCCCTTCTTATGTCCACATCTGACTGAAAGGAAGTGTACTTGGTACTGAGATGAGGTTGCTGCAAAGGTTCATACAAGAAGAGATGATTCCAAAGTACCTGGACCTCAGGCCATTTACAGCCTTAAATGTCAAATCCAGCAGCATGAACTGAGCCCAGAACCAAATTGATAACAAGTTCAGTTGGTGAAAGACTGAGGTGATACACTCTAGCTGCATTCCAAACTCAGGCTTACATGGAAACCTTCACAGAATCTACTCTGGTGGTGTTTGGTACATCTGTTAGCGATGCAGAATTCATGAAGCAAGGGGTAAAATGTAGTGCAGATGTATGGTAGAATCCTTAATTTCATAGAGATTTATGGTTGGAAGTGACCATGGAGGTAATATATTCCAATCTACTGCTCAAAGAGGGAAGTAATCTTTAATAAGAGATATCACAAAGGCTTATACTAAGTGGGGACAGAGATGGCTTAGAGTGACTGTGGTTATGACAAGCAGGATGTGCTACACATTCAAATGAGATAAAGTTTATTAAGTTTACCAACAAGCAGACACCCTTTTGTAAAGAAATCACATGTAGCTTGTGGATTTAGAACAGGCAGACATTGGAACTTAGCAATTCATGTAGAGTAAATTGAATGCACTGGAATAGCATGCTTTTTCTGCAACAAAACACTTCTCTTCAAAAGTTTTCATCTTGTGGACTGGCTTGCCTGTCTTATATTCCAAAATGAGTCCTTCACCCTTTTCAGTTTTGATTGTTTTGGTATTAACAGTTTTACCACTGTTTCTGAAGTTGGTGCTTAGCCTTACAATAGCTTCTGAGGGAAGGACTGGAACCAAAGTCTGCAGATCTGTTGTGGTTGCCACTCCAAAATTCAGGATCATCATGAATACTTGATCCAATCCATCCAGTTCTCTCACGTACACAAAGATGTTGCTGTCGTTCCAAACAAAACACATCCACCCCCTGTGAATGGGGAGTTCGTTGCTACGAAGGGAATTGAGCTCTCGATACAAGTTCAGTGTAGAATTTTGTTGATCCTTCTGAATCTGTAACAATTGTTGCATCACTAAATCATTTGGAAGCTGCTGATCACATTTGCATTTCTTCTTAGGTGATCTTCACTCCTCCTACTCAACCACCCTTTTCTTCTCTTTTAAACAACATTGCCATTTTTCCTTGTGCATCTGCTTTTCATGGAACTGCCTACCTGAACATATGAACACTACCCACCTCACTCCTGGAGTTTTTGGGTGACCTTTGGTTTAGCATCTTAACTTTCATTCCAGACTAATCAAGTACACCCGATGGCATCTGCCCACATAATTTCCACCTTAGCTTTGTCAGTCACTTCCCCTTTGTTTGTTCCCCACTGTCTATTTTCAATTGTAAGCTTTTGAGAGCTTTGATTCTAAGCTCTTCCTCTTCCTAAGATCCCATGTTCACTGCTTGAGCAATAATACTAATAACATCATAGAAATGCTGTTTGATTTGTCCACTACTTCCCATTGGTTCTTTGCTACTTTAGAAACAAAATGTTTTATTCGTTGTTTTTAGTTTCTACTTGATTTTATCATTCCATTCATTCACATGATCTTTGTAAATATGTGTTGTGTAACTATCCAGCATTTTTAAAAATCCAGTATAATCAATTAACTAAAGCAGCAACCCTAACACAGTGCCCTCCAGATGCTTCAGTCTACACCTGCCATCAGTCCTAGCTAACATGGCCAGTAGACTAGGTTTATGAGAATTGTTGTCCAAAACATCTGGAGGACATTACTTTGGAGAAGGTTAAATCAAAACATTGCTTAATTCAGGGGAAGGGGATAATTTAAATAACAATGCAATTTATTCTTATTTTTTATGTTTATATCCCATCATTCTAATACAAAGTTGGCTCTCAAGTCATGTTAAAGGCACATTTGTTTGCTTTTTGGAACTACATGTTTCTAGTGTTCTACTATAATATATGTAGCAGTGATAATATTAAAGAGAACCTTTTGATTAGTGCTATGCAGGCAAATATATAGAATCCATAAGTTAGTTCAGAAATCATCTGAGGCTGAGCTTCAAACTCCAGTGTCAGGGACGGAAATAATGTATGCCCCCATAAGGCCAAAACATAAACGCTGGTTCTGGAGCTGTTGCATATCTTGTTCTTTCCAAGAGTGTCAATGGAGGAGGGAAAAATAAAAAGGCTGAATCAACCCCACCACCACCTTCCATTCTTGTCAGCTCAAGCCAGATGGGCTTAGGGAGTCTTTATTTCTCCATCACATAATCTCCCACCACTGTCACCTTAAGATTGCTCTCCCCATTCCCAGTTTAGGAAAGCTTCTAATCTCTGCCAATCACTCTGTGAATGTGAGCAGAGGGTGATACAGGAATTGCCCTGAGTTGTACCCTGGTATATAATTAGGGGTCAATTATCCCAGATTTTACATTAAATGTCATTGTCCTGCAAAAATAATCTTGAATTTTAAGTTTATTTGAACAATCCACAGTCTTCATACTTACTTGCACATTTATGTTTGGATAGTCAGAATTTACAGATGTCCAGGTTGAGTTAGCCTCGCTAAAGCCAGCTTGTTGACTGTCGTCCCATTGCATAGGTGATTTTTCTGCAAAAGTTGCCTAAACAGAGAAGGCACTCTTCACTGCTAAATAGGCTATCAATCATGGCTGTTGTGAAAATGCTTACCTGTAGAATGCCCCTAAACCTGGAAAAGGGAAACTAAACCCATCGCATTCAAGGGTGGCAGGTATCTCAAAATGGACCGGATGTTGCTTTGATGGTTAATAAACATGTCAGGAAGTCAAATTGTGTGTCCAGAGGGCATAATTCAATACTGGACTGATGTGGGAGTAACAGAACAGTTTTGTCGGAAGAGATGGCCCCACCCCTAACACAGGGGTATTGAACATCTTTCATTCCAAGGTCCAAATTCCATGTTGGAGTTTTCAGGGCTGTGTTCCAACAGTGAGCAGGACCAAAGAACCAACCCATCTTAATGCTCTTATTGCCAGTTATAACTGTTGTTGTTATCCCCATGAAGGAAGCAGTACAGAGTCTGGAGATGCTCCAAGATTCATTATTAGAAACCCAAGTGATTTCCGTGGCATAGATTACCTTTTACCAACATTGGCTAATATGTCAACTTAGACAAGGCTAGATTGAATTACTGTACTGTTCTCTATATGGAACTGTCCTTGAGGGTCATTCAGACGATGCTGTTAATACAGAATGGTGCAACAAAGCTACTGAATGGAGCACTTTGCCATGTGTACATAAGACCTATCCTAAAAGAGCTACACTAGCTGACAGTTTGCTACTAAGGCAAGATCAAGGTATGAAGCGCTAAACAACTTAGAACTAGATTGTATGATTATCTCCTTCTTTATAGACTCCAAAAAAACCTTTATGTTCTTCAGGAGAGGCCTTGCTGAGTGTATTACATCCTGCAGAGCCCCATCTGGCAGCAGCATGGCAACTGGCCTTTTCAGTAGTGGCACCTTCAGTAGTGGCACCCTCTGGAATGACTTTCCCTCTACACCGCATCCCCCCCATCATTTATTTTTGATTATTGCTAAAACCTTGCTTCTTTACCTTGACTTTTCCAAACAATTAACTTATGTAAATGCTATCTAAATGCTTTTAATAATGCATTCTTTTGTTGCAAATTGTTTTGGGATATTTAAAATAGGAAGTAATGTATTAATGTTTTAAAATAAACAAATAAGCTTTAGGAAAGTAATTTCAATCTTGAAATTAAAACTACACAAAATCCAGGAAACAACCAAACAATTGGTGGAAGTGGCATGGCAATCTAGCGAACCATATGCGGACCAAGTTTGGTTCATTTGATTTGTTTCTGTCCCCATACTAACTTCTCTTTTAACTATTTCTCCAAACATTTGACAAAGGCAAATCAAAACCTAAGCATTAGTAAAAATGGATACATTTGAGAAACACTGAATGCTTTGATCATCAGCACTAACAACAAAGGGCACTAAGCACTAAGGTACTCCATTTAACATGCAATAAGAAGGAAGAAAACAAGTGTATTGTGATTTGTGTTACCATGTCTTATCCAGAAATTTAGATTCACTGCTGTTTTATCTCTGCTTCTAGTACTTTGTCCCTAGAAACTTCCCTGCTGGGCAATAAAACAAGTGCATATGGGTTCTGCTTTTGATATACACCACAGGTATGGTTTCCACCCTAAGCAAAGTACATAGGTTCTCTAACCAATTGACCCATTGCACATACAGCCACCAATAAACACATTACCCCTCATTAACACTAGTTAACCTTAATGGCCTACACCCGGAATTTGCACATGACTCTCCCACTTTGCATTCTGCACTGTTGGAATCACTGGTAATGACAAGCCCACTATTGGCCTAGATATCCTCTCATCCTTTTATTATTAGGGGATGGGGAAAACCCAACCCTTAAACCAAGGTTACAAAAAGGAACATCTTCCAATAGAAGATCAGTTCAGTTATCCCAGAAGCTCTTGCTTCCTTTTCCAAAGAGTTTATCACCTATAGCCAGTTATCTCTGCCCATCCTACCCACTTCTAGTTTTCCATCCACCTCCAGTAGTGTTACTATTAGTATGAGTTAGGGTTCAAGGGGACCTAAAGAGGCATCACCAGTCTTCATTTCTCTGTCATCACCTTGCTTTAATCTTTTAAAGGCTAATTTGATGGCTAAGCCAGGAACAGGAGGGAGTCCACAGGAAGAAAACCTGGGGGGGGGTGGATAGTATCCCTAATTTTACAGGTGAAGCTGTAGTTCCAGCAAGAGGATCCCTCTCCAGCATCGGTGTGTGGAAGAAGAGAACCTGTATGGAGCTAAAGACTCTGGAAGTAACTTGTGGGGCTTGCTTAACTTATTTCTCCTAAATAAACTCTGCAACCTTTTCATTTGTGTGTAGTAAACCCTCTTGGGCAACTGGAATTACTTACTGTTGTTAAATACATGCCACAAATTGTTTTGCTTTACAGATTTCTGATTATGAATGGATGGATATTTAAGCTCTGTTTTTGTTTTTGTTTTCTTAAAGCAATTTATGATTTCAGAGCCACACAGGGTAAAATATTTGAACGAACCTGTTGTGACCTGTGTTATCCAGTTTGCAGGGTTACAATAGGGCCATGAAATGTAACTTCATTAAAGAATTTAAAAACCTACATATTTACTAAGAACTTCAGAACAAAGATTAAATCCAGATTACAGAGAATTTGCAATCAGCCAGATTTTCTACATATGGGGAAAGCCCTTTTTCACTTTTGCCCTCTTCAGTAACACATTTATTATGAAGTTGAAATGTAAGAGTAATTTAAAACTCACATTTCCTGCTATAGTATCTTCCATCCCTATTTCGTCACCATAATATATTGTAGGTGTTCCAGGAAGGGTTAGAAGGAGCATGTTGATCACATTTATGTATTCCTTTCCAATCCGAGAGGAGACTCGAGGACTGTTGGGGCCTCCGACCTAAAATGAAAGTACTCTAGGTTTGTACCTGGCAATGTCATTCCATCAGCACAATGCTTCCACCACTGAACAACCACTTAATTTCTTCCAAGCACTTGTGTTAGAAGACTATGGATTCAATCAAGGATCTACCTTCCACAAGAGGGACCTTGCACAAGAAAAGCCCCACTCATGAAAGTCCCCTTCCCCCACACATAACAGCAGACCAGCCCCTGTTCAGTAGGGTCTGCTGACTCTCTCTGTGGCATTATCAGTAGCCTGGAGAGGTTGCTTTGAAAAGGAGGGGACAGGGAAGCTCCCACCACCAACATAGTTGATTCAGCATAAATCCAGACCCAACCCACTGAATCTGCATGCTCAACCACTGCGCAATCACTTTCATAATTCATTACAACATCATTATGCTAGATGTTTGCTTGTTCTAGTTGTTCCACAAGTGCTTACAAAACTCTTAGCAAAATGTCGGATCTTCTACTTTTTCTGTTAGCATTATGTTGGATACATTGTTTCTCTTATAATAATCTTTTTTAATGGCCATAACATCTAAGAACATATTTGGACACATTACTGCAGTGTATCAACCCCATAAAAGTCATGTAAACAGAATGCTGATCTTACTTGTAACAGGACGCAACAAATGGCATCAAAGCTAATGAAGTTAGAATTTCCAGTGAGGTAATTTAAAATTGCCCAGTTGGATGGATGGATTTTACTCCCTGTGGGAAAGGCTCATTCATAATTTTATTATATTGACCAAGTGCTTACATGCTTTTTAATCACTCAATATTCACAATAAACTGGTTTAATATTGCTTTCCGCTAAAAGAGATTTTGCTCCTTGCAGAGTAAAGGAAATAAATTGTTCTGAGGTCACTAAATACAAAGAAATGGTCTTGCAAGATGAAGTCTAATTATCAAAGATAAAATTCTGTATGCAACAAAAAATTAATTTAAACAGCAGGGTACTCCAATTTATTACACAAAAACACAAAAAGCACCTTCATCTTGACCATTTAAAAAGTTTTAACTATTTTACTGTATTGGAAGTGTTTCTATCTTTAATTCTTCATCCAGGAAATCATGTGACTGCCTCCATATTGCAAGTAGGGTTTTTGAGGGGGTTTTCAACTGCTGCCACTTTTGAAACTTGGGGCAATTTGATGGCAATGGAAATCAAATTGCACCACAGTCACGAACCCCAATGTGTAATTTTAAGCCCATCACTTTTCTTGCTATTTCTCACTCATTGGCAGAGGAGGTAGAGCTGCAGGGAGCTCACTTGCCCTGTCCCCAGTCCCACCAGAAAGAACGCTCAGCTCCAACTAGCAGTGACCAGAGAGCACACTCTGGATTCTGCCATCAGCTAGTGGAGCGAGGGCCACTGGGAGGTTGCATCAAGCCAAGGGGGAGATCAACCTGGCTTATCCATTAGCCCTGGAAAGAGGCAACTGCAGGAGTTCACTTCCCCATCCTTACTAGAAAGAATGCTTGACACCAACTGAGAGTTACCCACCCATCAGCCAAAGGAACAACAGCCCAGTTCAAGCAAGAACTCCAAGGGAAGAGCAGCTTGGCCTGAAGTACATTAAATGCCCTGCTACAGATCACCACTTTGAACCAGCCCTGAAGAAATGATCCCATCTGCCACAACCCCACTTCCCTTGAGTATCTTGTCTTTCTGTTCTTAAGCCTGATGGAAGAGCCTCTCTCTCTTTCTCTCTGTTTTATTGATGTGAACCTTTCTGGGAGACTACAGTTGTCTAAAAACAGGATTTAAAATGCTGTAAATAAATATAAATTTCACCAAATAGTAGTGAAGCTCAAAAGATACGACTGCCCCTATGCACTGCAATAAACTCTTTCGAGACAAGGCAGGATTCGGATGTAATTAACTGCAATCCTAGGCATGTCTACTCAGAAGTAAGTCCTGCCGAGTTCTAGTTCAACCCAACTTACTCACAAATAGGAGCACAGCCTAAGACTGCAATCCTACAAACACCTTGGGGCAAATCCAGATATGGTTGGATACTTTGACCAACATCCAGGGCTCTGAAGCCCACCCCCAAATAACTCAAAGGATCCCCCAAAGAACAGGAGGTGATGGGGGCATCAGAGGCAAACTCTTTTTTATTCCAGTAATCATGACAGTTCTATGACTTAAGTGAGCTGACGGTGCAGAATTCCACGTGCTTACAGTATTCTTTTGCATCACAATTTTGTTGTTGCAGCTGTAACTTAGAAGCATTTGTAAAGTAGAGAATGGCAGCTGGAAATATATATTAGGATACAGTCAGTAAGAAGACTGGAAGCCTGTAAACTCAGGGCTGTCTGTTTATTCAATAGAGTGAAGAAGAAGCAAGCAGAGGCAATATTTACCTCCCCATCCTCCTGCCCTGCAAGATCATCTAAATGGACTTTTTAGCCCATCTAGTGAGGCATTTTGGTGGGAAGGAAGGATGGAAGGAATAGTAGAGTTGGAAGGGTCCATTAAGGCTACAGGGTCCAACCCCCTGCTGTTGGAGGAAACCAATTTACACCATCCCATTCAGATGACTGTCCAGTTTCTTTTTAATGTCTCTAGTGTAGGAGGCTAGAGGAGACTCAGAGATCATAGCCTAGTCTCTACTGTTTCCTCTCCTCCGTCCCTGCCCACCAGAACTCTCCTCCTCCTTCTCCGTCACTTTTCCACACCAGAGAGCAGTAGTATGTTTCTTTCTGGTTACAAAACAATGGAGGAGGAGCCTTGAATCTCCAGCTCCCCTTTCTGAGATCGGAGCATTGTTTCCCACCTCAGAAGGAAAAATTGCTACAATCCTTTTGTCCTTGTGATACTCGTCCAGGAACCACAAGGCTGCTTAGTTGTGTATATTTCAACTAAAGTACTACATGTGGCCCATAAGACCATTATGTGACACCACTGTATGTCTGCACCACTTGGGAAATCCCACTGAACTCAATAAATTCACAGCTAAGTGAATGTGCAGTGGTCAGCACAACAATAAATCCAATGAGCAACTGTTTGACTAGTGGTTGAAGTCATCAGCGGTGGTGTTGCAAACTATAAAAAGAACATAAACCATCAAGGCCAGAAGCTTACCGCCCAGTTTGGCCATTTCCCTTGTGGCATATTCTTCATCCACAAAGCTACCATTTCAAAAATAGAATTCCCAGAGATTTGTTCCATGTTCATGAGGTACAGGTTGGAAGGGAAATCTGCTTCTTGAATAAAAGATGTTCCATAATACATCATAGTTTCTTGGATGCTGTCATCAGTGGCTACTGTGCTCATAAATCTGTAAAACAGGAGAAAAACTATCTGTAATTTTGGTTTGTTAAACCAATTGCTAACAACATTGTTATTTACTTAAACCTACACCAGGATCACGGAACACTAGTTCTTTAATGTCTTGAACCTGGTAATTATTTAAATTTTATATGGCAAGGTATCTTCATGGCAAGTTTTCTCTTTTCCAGATTCCTATAATTTTGTATCAAGCTTATTAGATTGTGAGCCCGCAGGCACAGATGGTTTTTTTTTTCAATATCCATACCATATATAAGTAAATTTTACACACATTGTAGATACTTATTAAGGAGGAAGAGGAGAAGTTGGATTCCAGGATTCCCCCCTACCAGCAGGTGTGTTCCTTGAACAAAATTTCATTCAAAACTCTCTGTCCAACAGCAAGAATGGGAGGCAATTTTTGCCCACTCTTTGCAGTCTTATGCCCCTTTTCATGCTTTTCTAGAAGGTCTTCCCTCTGGAGCAGATTCTTGAGGAGCACAGAGGCATGCAAGGAGAGGGTTAATCAGCAAAGACTGCATAACCCCCATCACCCCCATTCCACCAGTAGCATTCTTCTGCTAGATCAGAATCTTTCACAGAGTTCCTCCATCCACAGATGCACTGTTATTATTATGTGGTTTAGAAACCTGTGGCTCTCTAGATATTATTGGTTTGCAAGTCCCACCAGCCCCATCCAGTTGGGACTGAGGGGGGTTATCCTCAAACCTATGGAGGGCCACAGTTTCCCCACCCTGACCAATTCCAAATGGCCCTCAAAGAAAGCAGTCCTGCCTGATCTCTATAGCATTGCTCCAGTGAATGACAAGGTCAGGAAAGGGGCACCTACTAATATTTTCAGGGTAGGTTTCCTAGGGTAGGTTGTGGCTTTTAACATCCTTTGGTAGTTAAGAAATACGTGACAGTGTTGCAGCATTCTTACCTGTATCTTCCAGGCTCACTGCTGAACTTATCCATGGTGTGTCGAAAACTGCGTACTATATCATGCATGCCAACTTGGGTGGTGGTGTAGTCATGATACAGTTCAGAATAGGCTGTGACTGTGCCCTTCAAGAACAATGAGATGTTCATAAATAATGAGCAGAAGGGGTATTTTCCAGATGCTTTGAACTCCCAGAAACCGCTACCAGCATGGCCAGTGTGCATGAATACTGGGAGATAAAGTCCAAAATATCGGAATATCTACTTTCTGCCATCCCCAAGGATAGAAGCACCATTCAGCTGCCATGGAAAGATTCTGGTTGGTTCTGCTGCCTTAGATCCATTTAACTGCAAATGTCACTTATTAAACCTTAGACCTTATGCATACAAAACATGGGCTGCACCACCAAGCTATGGGTCTTCTCTCCTTAGTGTTGCACAGGTGTTATTTTCTACAGTACACACATGCATTTCCTGTCCCGCCATGCTCTCTGAGTTTTTCAGGTTTCTGTGGCAATTCAACTGAAACCATGGTGGAAAGGCACTACTTAGCCCTGAATGACCCAGCCAACACTGATCCAGGTGCCATGCACCCTGATTTCACAAGCATTTACTGGATCTTCCAGATCAAAAGCATGACCTATTCTCTGATGCACTGGTAAGTTCACACTGTCTACTCCTGCCCAACCTAAACACTAACCAGAGGCCTGACAATTATAGTACTGATAAAAAGTTATATTACACTGGTAGAAAATGCAAGAAAACCTTATTTGTTTTAAGTGCACATCCCCTGCAAAAGCACAAGGCAAAAATGTTACCTGAGTTTGGGATTTATTCACTTCCGGTTCATCTCTTAGGTGTGTTGCTTCCAGAAGGTATTTAACAGTACTAACTGTGAATCCATCAATGCCTTTGCCAAGCCAAAACCTGATGACAGCCTAAATATATTTTAAAAAGAAAAAAAGAATGGCTTTGCTTATTTCCCAAACAACCACATTTATAGTAAATACAGTTCCCAACTTTGTCTAAACACATAAGTTGATGCTGTGATTTTGAAAGTTAGGAGTCCTACCAACTGTACCATATAGCCCCAGTGCTTATTGGGTCTTTTGTACATTAGTGGCTGTCTCATTCACTACATTGCTTTGTGGTATCTCTGCTCAGCCAATGACAGCTTTATGACCATTCCTTTAAATGAGTGGTGTCCTCCCCTTTAAAAAACAAATCCTTCTCACGAGAAATGTGCTCCTGTTTACAACATCATAAGCCAAGTCACATGGTAAAACTTTTCCTGGACTTGACCACATTAAGTTGCAAGAGCAAAAAGTGCCCTGTACATAGAAAATAAGCATATCAGGAACAAAAGGTGTTCAGAATACTTTAGCATACTGTTCCCTATGAGCAGGTAGTCTTTTTCATGGAGGAATAGTCAACATGCAGTTTCATCTGCCATACCAAGATGGAACAATCATATAATTCTTTCCTTTGACTTCCCTGACTTCTTGTTCCATCCTTATCTTAATTATGTTCTGAGATGCAGCATAGATATTTGAAAATGAATGCAATGTTGTTGGTAGGATTGTTAAAATTATCATTATTCCTTACTAGATTGTCACTTAGTATAACAATTAGCTTAAAGAAATAATATTGTTTGATGGGAAGGCTAACTACATTTCTTAAAGATTGGAATGACTGATACTTACATGCATCTCTTCCTGAACATTTGGGTTGCGAAAATTTAAATCTGGCTGTTCCTTTCCAAACTGATGAAAATAACATTGGTTTCTCATAACATCATACTGCCAACTGGAATTCCCAGGTATGCTCACCTGATGGCATAAGAAACACATCAGATCACTTAATCTTTAATCTGAAAGCTTCCTTAGCTTTCATATTATCCTAATGTATAATAATGGTTGTTCTCTCCTCCTTATGGACAAAGTGCCCCAGTTCATCATACTGAAATCCTATTGATTTCAATGGGAAGATAGGCACAAGCAATATTCTTGACACAAGACTGCTTCCCAAACTTGCAGGCCCATGTTGTGTTGTGCATCATCTGCCTGCAGAATCCTACAAATAGGATATGAGTGCATGAACACAATAGTTTCCTCCTGTAAAAAATCCCCAGTAATATTGCCACTGATACTTGAGGTAGCACATAGTCATCAGGACTAGCCTGTGATAGCCTTCTCCTCTATGAATCTGTTCAATCTTCTTTTAAAGCTGTCCACATTGGTAGCTTCACTGCATCTCATGAAAGTGAATTCCATAATTTAAATGAACACTGAGTGAAGTACTTCCTTTTATCTGTCCTGAATCTCCTACCAATCAGCTTTACAGGATGACCCCAAGTTCAAATATCATAGAGAGGGGCTTTGCCTTATTTCAAAGCTAAACCATGTCAGCTGTTTCTTCATAGCTAAGTTGTTCCAGCTCCTGGATCCTTTTAGTTGCCCTGTTCTGTACTTTTTCCAGCTCTATAATATCCTTTTTAAGGGTGATGACCAGCATTGTGCACAATATTCTCAGTCTGGTCACACTATAGATTTGTCTTAGGGCAGTATGATATTGGAAGTTTTATTTTCACTTCCTTTCCTAATTATGCCCACCATAGAATTTGCTATTTTCACAACAGCTGTACACTGGGTCAATAGTTTCCTTGGGCTGTCCACCACAACCCCAAAATCCCCTTCTTGGTCTGTCACTGCCAGCTCAGATTCTATCAGCTTATATTTGAAGTTGGTGTGGTTTTTTTTCTTTTTTTGCCCCAATGTGCATTACTACACACTTGCTTCAGTTGAACCAGGTTTGCCTCCCCCTCCACTTTCTCCACCCCATACATAATTTTGTAAACCTCTACCATGTCCCTCCTTACTCACTGTTTTTCTAGACTAACCAATCTCATCTGTTAAAACCTTTCCTCATGGGGAGCTGCTCCAACCCCTCAATCATTTTAGTGTCCTTTTTTGGATTTTTTTCAGTGCTGTAGTATCTTTTTTTAGGCCATTTGCTTATCCCTACTAGCAACAGCTACAAAACTGGGGTGGAGGGAATTTTACATACAAAATCCCCAGTCTGGAATCATCACCCAACTAGAACCCCCCAAATTCAGGTCTGCTTCATAATGGGATTTAACCTCAGCCACTAAGCAGCCTTCCTCCCAGACCCTCATTCATCCATTTCCCACTTGCTTTCCTTCAAAAGAGGAAGATTCATTTTATTTTTACCACAGCTTTCTACCAAAATGGCACTCAAGGTGGCTTACCATCTCTAGTAAAGCATGATAAAACAATGAGCAAATGCATTAAAACCAGGGCTTTTTTTGTCATAGAACGTACCGGAACAGTGTTCCGGCACCTTTTTTCCCAATGGATTTTACGAAGTGATTTTGAATCGTAGCAGATCAGCAGCAAACATCATTAACATAGTGCCTGCAGGCTGCTTTTGTGTCTGCTATCTGCTATCTGATAGTGAGGGTGCTGCTGTTCTGGGCTTGGGACACTGCTCAGCTTGGGATTGCTGTGTGTGGTTCCCGCACCTTTTTTTTTTTTTTTACAAAAAAAGCACTGATTAAAACACAAGTAAAAACAATTGAAAATACATCAAGAACAAGGAAAAATGGGCCTATTCACACACCACAAGGCTGCTCAAATAAAGCCACCTCTGCCTACGAGGTGAAGGCCAACAGAGCGATGGGAGCCAAGCCTCCCCCATGAGAGATAGCTACACCTGTGGAGCAGACACGCAGGAGGCCCTTGTGGAGAGTGAAAAGAAGTCACCCAAAGAGAGACTGCTGGGAGTGTACAATCAAATGAACATTTACAGTTTATTCAGACATACAAGAAAATACATGTGCATGTAGGCAGCTGCTGGAGGGACTACAAAGATGGGAGTACAAGAAACTGTTATAACCTACAAGTTACATGCACACTTTGGGGGAGGGGCAGGAATGACTAGGCAGTTTGCTAGAGGCACATAAAACAAAAGGGGATGAACACAATACAAAAGAGATCCACCTTCAAGAAAGGCAGATATTAGCATGTCTAAGGTGTAAAGGATAGGCCTTTCAGGACAGGGACATCAGCATAAATCTAACAAACAAATTTCTGAGGTGTATGTGGGAAGCAAGACCTGCACCATTGGTTGCCCGATCAGATCAGGAATCTATCTAAAGTCTAAAACTGTTCTTACAGTGTCCGGCTTTTAGCAGCCATATTGTGCTTCTTTTGTGCCGATACCCTCTTTCAGTTGGCCACCAAACAAGTCACTGAAGGTGGTGGTCTCAAAAGAAAGTCCTCCTCCAAAGCTCTTAAGAATCAGGAGTCTTTCCAGTAGCTTGGTCTCAGGCTGTACAGGGCCTGATAGGCCGTACCTAGCACTTTGGACTCAGCAGCTAGTGAAGCTGTGGTACACAGGACAGCTGCTTTCCCTCTGTGGTCAGCCCTAGTCAACAGCCTGGCTGCAGGTGAAGTCTCTTCAAGAGCAGCTCCAGGTAACTGGTAGCAAGGAAGCAAGGCCTTACCAGGTACTTCTTGACTAAACATGGTTGCCAAACATGCTCTGGAGCAAAATTATTTGTCTCGGAACATGGGGTGTGCAGCTTCCTTGCCAGTGGATTTAAATGCACATCCCATCGTCCCTGCCAAGGAATTATAATATAGAGCTTGCTCAGGGGGAACTTCTAGATAAGGAGAGGCCAGTAAGGTCTTCCTATCTCTGGTGCTCCCTCAGTCTCCTCACTCCCATCTAAAAGATGGTGGAAACTGAATGACAGGAATGGCTCTGATTGCAGATCATGCCTCGTGCATGCGAGATTTCTTGGAAATACTTGAAAGGGTTTTGGGAGATGGGGCGTTCTAAGCATTATTTGGGGCTCCTCAGAAAAAAAAGCGAATGGAGGCTGAGGCATGATTGGCTAAACTGCCATCAGAAGTCCCCAGTAGGGAAAAGTTCCCAGTAGGGAAATGGGCAAATCCTTCTGATGAGAAATCTTTCACTGCCTTTTCTTCTTATATGCCAGGCCAGAGCTTTCCTGCTTACCACAAACTTGTGAGATTTGGTTTGGGGTTATTGTTCTGTTCATTGTTGCTTGGGTCTGACTGTTTTGGTCTAGCAAACAGGCTGCTGAAATTCTTTCAGGGTGGCCATATGTATGGGAGATCTTTTACAGAGATCAATCCTGTGGGAAGACTGTTCCCTATTTTGAAGGGACTGTCAATCCAAGTCTGGTAGAAAGATGAAGAAACATCAGAAGGAAGAGTTGGGCCTTGCCTTGAAATTGCCCATCAACACTGGCTAGGTAAGCAAAATAAGGAGGCACAGATGTCAACAACTTCTACACTGTGGTAAGATATATTTTATTTCTATTTAAACTATACTACTTATATGGGTAAATGTATAAATACATATTCATTAGCACTGGGCTAAGCAATCTTTCTGTGCCTGTGGGCACATTTGGCAGTGTGAAAAATTGTCCCCGACACAACTACAAAATTGGTGCACTGAAGATGAAAGCATCAGTCTGCAGTGCTCTGTCAACTTCATTTCCTAAGAATTTCTCTGAGTCCCATATATGGAGCTGAGGCACTCCTGGGAAAAGAAGATGGCTACAGCTAGAGGGATCCCAATTTCCAGTAAGAATCTTTGCTATTTAACAAAAAATAAAATAAAATATAAAATAAAATAAAATAATATGACAAAGAATGGGGAAGGTAGCTTGGTGGGTGCCAAGCAAGGTGCCCAAGGACATAAAGGCACCACCCTACTCCCCTCTGCATTATCATACGCAGATTTGTGTCCTCTTTTTCCCTCTTTGTGGGCAACGCATTTCCTCTTTCTGGCAATTCATAACCGGCCTCCGTACTTGCACTGTCTACAACCTGTGAGCTGGTTTCATTTGTCCTCCATGTGTATACTGCATATATAGAAAGGGGTGCACAACCACCTCACTGGTTCTGCTCCCAGCATCTGTGCACTCTTCAGCCCCTCACTCCAACCTGTTTCTGGTGTTCAGTAGAACAAGAGAAAGGCAAAAGGGTTCACTTCTCTCTATGATCAGTAAGCCAGAGCAGGCCAGGGTCTGCAGAGAGAATCTGTGCACAGAGAGCAGGACATGCATGGTCTTTCCTTCCTGACATGTCACTGGATGCTGTGGGACTGGACAGAGGGGGACTGTGCTTTAGGGCTGATTCGCTGCTCTTGTTTGAATGGCTGCTCGATTTCTTTTACTTTGTGATTATTTTAATGTGATGTTGTTGCCATCAGGAGTGTCATTAATGAGTGGAAGATGGCCTGAAAATGTCTGAGTAAATGCTAAATACGAAAGCAAATCATATTGGGAAATTCCTTCTTGTTAGGGAAAGAGGATAGAACTCTGCTTAAGAACAACAAACATTTTCTGTCTCAGAGTAAACGGCTTTATCAGAAAGTCAGCCAAGTAAACAGTGGCCCAGTAGGAATGTCTACAACTCCCATAATTCCCAGCTGGCTTGGCCATTGGTCTGTTTAAGCTTGTTTTGTAAAACAGAGGTGCACATGGGTGTACCACAAAATTCAGGATAGAACATTAAACATAGAATTACTTTTCTGTAGAAAAGAAAAAAACTGCTTATGGTTAACCATTGGTCAAATCACAATGTGTGCTATGGTGCTGAACATACAAAAGGAAATATTATGGCAACATTGGGTCAGTGCTTTCAAAACCTGTCATTCCCGGCCTTTTCTCAAATTGTTCCAATCTCAAATTAAAATGTGGAAAATGAGAATTGTTCTCCTAGTGAAACCAGTTTCTGACACCTTTCTGTTATAGAAACAGAAAAGAATGATCTAACAATGAGTCGGCCTGTTGTATTCTGATGTCATAGTTGACAAGGAGAGGAGAAAGGTGTGATGAGGAGGCCCCCAGACTGGGATGCCCACTGAACAAGGGGTCTCTCACAGTGATCTGGTCATGTGAAATGCATCCTTTCCTGCCAACAGGTTTGTGCAAGACAGGGTGAAAGTAAGCAAGAAGCAACCATGTAAAGGATTGTGATTAAACGGATTAGGGGGTGGGGATGGAAATCAATCCTGTCTAAGAGTTCAATAACTATTAATTGTGACATTAATATTTGGTGAGTTAAATGTTTTACAAGGAACAGAAGTCCACCTCTCTTTTGCTTGCAAATCAGTGACATCAAACAAGGCCTGAAATGTTATGAATGACTAATAGGCTGATCCTAAATCCTTTACCAAGCAGCCATTCCCTCTGACTTGCTTCCAAGTAGGCATGCACAGGATTTCATTCCTAGTGTGCAGTCCTATGCATGCTTAACACAAAGCATATCCTGACTGACTGGGAATGCTGGGAGTCGCAATGCCTTCTTTTAAACCATGCAAAGGATTGCAATCAAGTGAAACTGTGTTTGAAGCAAACCATTTCTGGAGCATGGTACAACCCTGCAAAAGTGTATTTTGAAACTCATGCTTTACTGTTTTCATAACTTTTAGCTGAATTTGCTTTTACAATAGTTCAGTTTCATGCATTATACATATTATGAATACATGTTCCCTGATTATGAAAGACACTGATCACACAATATTAGAGGAAATGTCCTTCAGCAAGACTTACCTAAAGGGTGATGGACATTCAAAAGTAATATGGCAATCCAAGGTGCTAAGATATAATCAGAGATCCTTGGCAATAACAAGCTCCTTATTATAATTAAGAAAGAGGGATGTCATTTACATTTATTAAGAAGCAATACAAGGATGTGTACCATGTGTAGCCATCACAGAGTCTAACTCTCACTTAACAACTTGTGGTATTCTTCTGACCTCTCACTAAGAGAGGAGCATGTCATAACCAATGACACCCAGGAGCCACAGATGTCTTTCTATTCAATGCTTTATTTAAACTCTTCCATAGCTGGTAGAATTTCCCATTCACTCTGCAAAACAGAAGCTCAAAGCAAATTTGTAAAACCTAGAACAGAACCTATCCTTCATCCAGAACCTAAATTCCATGCATGTCCTACCCAACCCAATAGGCCTGTGTTTGAAACAGAATGTCTGGTTTAGCCTTCCTTCACCTGGTACACTCCATAAGTCTTGAATGAAACTCCCATCATCCCTAAGATAGAGGCATTTTGAACATGATGAGAGTAGTAATCAATTACATCTATAGAGCACCAGTTATATCCACCGTATTATTTACTTATTTATTTTTATTGCATTTGTTATTTTTATATCCTGCCTTTTTTCCTTCCAAGGAACTCAAGGCAGCTTATATAATTCTCCTTCTCCTCTCAATCTTATCCTCACAACAACCTTGTGAGGTTGGTTGGGCTGAGAGTCTATGACTGGCCTGAAGTCATCCAGTGAGCTCCATGGTGAGTGGGGATTAGAACCCAGAACCTCTGAATCCGAATCCCAATTCTGCACTCAACCCCAACACCACAACACTTCTCTTACAATCCTGTATCCTTTGTAACACACTTACATGTTATTCATTTTTATGCTTACAGAAGTCTGTACTCACCCAATTATTTGGTGGTGTTGTGCTTCCATTGACATGTGCACAGTCGTGCCAGATGTAATAATCTGTATATTTTCCAGTCCGATTGCGACTAAGCTGAAACCATTTGTGCTTGTCACTGGTATGGTTAGGAATTAGATCCATTATCACTTTTAAACCTACAAGTCAAGATGTAGAGAGCAGCATGTCAGATTGCACAGATGCATATTTTTCCTCAAAGGGAACTGACTTTTTTCAATTCTTTTAAAAGGACAGATGTACGATAGCAAATAGAAATACTAATGCTTGCCAATCACAGAGGTTTATTGCAAAAATTACAGATCTAGACTACATGAAGCACCAAGAGCTCTGCTGTACACTAAACAGTGATAATGGTAAAACATCCTGCAAAAAGGACCTGGTATTTAGTAAAATCTAAACTTTCTAGCTACCAAACTTTTCATGGAATCAGAAAAAATGTGGCTTGTATCCAGTATATTGCCCACAGAATGGGATATCCACCCACACCTTCTGGCCACAGTGCCTTTAAAGGCCATCATGAGCATTGGAAGCTCCTTGTACATGGCATGGGATGTGATGGCATGGGATGTGATTATCTGGATCCTTTTCAGTCCGGCTTCAGACCCGGGTACAGTACTGAATCTGCCTTGGTCGCCCTGTACGACGACCTGTGCAGGGAGAAGGACAGGGGGAGTACATCCCTGTTGGTTCTTCTGGACCTCTCGGCGGCTTTCGATACCATCGACCATGGTATCCTTCTGGATAGACTTGCGGGATTGGGGGTTGGAGGCACTGCTTTGCAGTGGTTCCGCTCCTATCTCGACGGTCGATTCCAGAAGGTAGTGCTGGGGGACCATGTCTCTACGTCATGGCAGCTATGCCATGGGGTACCACAGGGCTCCATTCTATCCCCTCTGCTATTTAACATCTATATGAAACCGCTGGGAGAGGTCATCAGGAGGTGTGGGCTGCGGAATCATCAATACGCTGATGATACCCAGCTTTACCTCTCATTCTCCACTAATCCAGGTGAGGCAGTGGCTGTGCTGAACCGGTGCTTGGCCGAGGTAAGGGAATGGATGAGGGCCAATAAACTGAAACTCAACCCAGACAAGACGGAGGTCCTGTTGGTTGGCGGATCGGGTTTTGGAGAGGGTGGATTTGACCTGGTCCTGAATGGTGCAACACTCCCTCTTAGGGATAAGGTCCGCAGCTTAGGTGTACTCCTCGACCCGGAGCTTTCTTTGGAAGCTCAGGTGACAGCGGTAGCGAGGAACGCCTTCCTTCAGCTTCGGCTGATTAATCAGCTGCGCCCCTACCTGGAATACGACTGCCTGGCGACGGTGACACACGCGCTGGTGACTTCCCGCCTAGACTTCTGTAACGCGCTTTACGTGGGGCTTCCCCTGAAGACAGTCCGAACACTTCAATTGGTGCAAAATAGAGCTGCCAGGTTGCTGACGGGGACGGGGCGTTATGCTCACATGACTCCAGTCCTCCATCAGCTTCACTGGCTTCCCATTGAAGCCCGGGCCCAATTCAAGGTGTTGATTATGACCTACAAAGCCCTAAACGGCTTGGGTCCTGGCTACCTGCACGAGCGCTTACGTCCGTATATGCCCGACCGCCCTTTGAGATCTGCGGGAGAGTCCCTTCTCCGGGAACCCTCCATGAAAGAAATTAGGAGAGTAAGTACCCGGAGGAGGGCTTTCTCTGCGGTGGCACCCAACCTATGGAATTCACTCCCCAAAGAGGTCCGCCTGGCACCGTCGTTACTGGTTTTTCGGCGCCAGCTAAAGACCTTTTTATTTAAACATCATTTCAATTGTTAAAACATATGATCTGGCCTGGGCAACTTCTTCTTCCTTCTCTTTCTCCTCCTATATTTTTATTTTATACTGATAATTTTAATTTTGTATTTGTAAATCAATGTATTTTTTGTATTGTTATATTTAATGGTAATTTATTATGTACTATTGTATTTCAATGTATTTTATCATGTTGTAAGCCGCCCCGAGGTTTCGGCAAGGGGCGGCATAGAAATGTTATAATAATAATAATAATAATAATAATAATAATAATAATAATAATAATCATCATCATCATCTGGGGCTTTTGAGGGAGTTGGCAGAAATTGCAGACAGTGATGTAATGATGCTTGGACTCGCAGCATTGAGGTCCTAGCCCAGTTGTTCCCAGTTGCAATGAAAATTATTTGGAGTTGTCTTGGTCTTGAATGGGTAATTGAGAGGTGAAGGTAAAACTGTGTTGATGGAGATCTCAACTGTTGGCATTTTTGGAATCTTCTAGTGGGAGTGACTCTGAGGACTGCCATAATGAGTGCCTGGATTTGAACCTTTACCACTGTGCCACCAATTGTAAACTTCTGCCTCCATGTGAGTGGAAGCACCTTTCATCCACTCATGCCAGGATCCTTAATGTCATCAAGGGTCCCTTTATATTAAGAGGGTATCATCGGCAAACCTGCTCAGGTTGAACACTGGATGCAATCTTAGTATCTGGAAGCACACAAAAGAGTAACAGGGGCACAATTCCTTTCAAGCAATGCCTACCTTTATCATGGATTGCTGCAACCAGGTTTTCAAAATCCTTCATTGTTCCAAACATTGGATCTATATCTTGGAAATCCTCTATTCCATACCCAAAGTCCTTTAAGGCAGATTTGTACACAGAGGTGATCCAGATTGTTTTTAGATTCAGATACTGGACATGATCAAGTTTTTCTTGGATACCTAGTAGGGAAAATACACATGTCCCCATTACCAAAGAAAAATCACAGTACTGGCAGAGGTAGTGTGGTTCCAAAGACTTTGGGTTCGATACACAGTCTGATTTCTGCAAGAGGACTGGATCTTTTTAAGGATTTCTTCTAGCCCCTAAACTAAGGGTGGCCTTAAGAGTAGGCCAGGGCACCTGCCAAGGGCCCACACCCCAGGAGGGTCTCTCTGACAAAAGGCTGTGGAAGCTGCTCATGTCTCTTCAGCATTTAAGCTGCTTGTTCACCAGCTTCTCATTCCGTCCCAGACAATAGTGGCTGTGAGAAGAAACAGCAAATGCCAATGCTTGCTTGCTCCCAGGCTCTCTGGGAGTGAGCAAGTGGTAGCCTGAGGAGGAGGAGGAGGAGGAGGAGGAGGAGGAACAAGAGCAGCTGCTGACCATGACAGTGAGAAGATCTACTTATTGCATGAGGAGGCCCATTGAAGGGGTCTTGCTCAAAGGGCCCCAGAAGCCTAGTGCTGGCACTGCCCCACCATGTTCTCAGTCTTCTGCATATTTTGCACTTTTTCCTGAGAGGTACTCAGGGAAGTAGAAAAATACGATTTATTTTTACACCTCATTTACAGGAGTATGCAATTTTGATAGCTGGTCGTCCTTTTATATTTTTTTAACAAGGCTAATAAGGGTGATTTGCTTTCCTTTTTTTTGACAAACACATATCCAGATTTCATGGCTACAGAAGTCCCAATCCAAAATCCCTGATTTTTGGTGCAAAAACAAACACACAAACAAACGGAGTGAATCAGTGATGGACACTGCAATGTGTTGCCAGGACACTACAGAAATCATGAAGTGTTAGCAATCTGTAGAAGAGAGGGAGGCAGTCAGGAAAGCTACAGCAAGGGTAAAATGGATCACAGTCAGCACAGAAGAGCTAAAGTGCTTATGCTAAAATGTCATCTGTGGACTGTCACTGGTGATCACCTTGATTTTAGGTTTAGAACTGTCTTTGCCCTCCCTACAATTATCCTTGTGAAACACTTCATGAAACACTTTGTCTGCTGAAGTTACAAATTGACAGGATTTGCAAAACAGGGCAAACCACCATGGGTAACTACTGTTAGTGGGCTGTTGTGTCATAAAAACCTGATCTACTTCCTGCATGGTGGCTTGTTTGTGGGTAGCAAGTGACCCTGACAACCCATGACTTGTTCGAGGGGTTGTTGTACCCACAGTGGTTTGCCACATTGTCTGAACTTGGGTGACTGATGCCATTGCAGCTACAGGGAAGCACAGAATGGCAGAATTGGAAGGGATCTGTAAGGCCATTGGGTCCAACAACCTGCTCAGTGTTCCCTGCTCCCTGCAAGATCAAATGGCAGCTATCCATACCATTCCCAAGTTGCAGTGGCTTTCAACCTACTATTTGAAAATGCTGTACCATAATTTGATTATTAATGTATTATGAAACTTAATGTAGAATTTTAGAATGATCTTATTTTAAAGGAATTATTTCTTATGAAATCCCTTATTCTAGCATTTCCTTGTCTCACAGAATGAGACATTTCTCCCCTATTTCAGAATAAAGTTGCAAAATACCTTTTGAAAAGTTCTGCATTAGACAATGATTCTGACTCAGTTTCATCCTATTCCACCTTGAGTATAATAGAAAAACTGGAGACACCCACCTTTCAGGTCGCCATTTCCATCCTTGTCAGTGTCCTTAAATGACCGTGGATAAATCTGGTATATTGGACTAGATTGCCACCAGCCAAGGCATTTGGGGGAAATCGCAATGATCGCAACTGTAGCCGCCACAAGCACCAGGGAGGAGGCAATGATCAACCAAAAGAGAATCTCTCTGGTGATTCTGTAGCGTGCCTGAGATGAAAACTGAATGAGGACCTCTTTAGGCATTCCCGCATAAGGTTGTACACCGGTCATTTCTAGTTTCATGTCAAGAGCACAATGGCTGGGAAACTCTTCAGACTCCTTTTCAGTCTCCTTTTCCTGTTCAGTCTCCTTTTCCTCCTGTTCTTCACTTTGAACAAACCCATGGTTTTCCAATCCTTTGCTGTTCAGCTCAATAGAGACTACCTTGTTTTCTTTGTCAACCATTTTTACTCAGGTCTGCCTTAAACCTTTCTGAAGACTTGCTGTAGCTAGAAGAAAGTGGGAAAATACTTTCAGCCAGTGAAATACCTCCAGTTGGTATCATTAATCCCTAGTTTATAAATAAACCAGACCAACCAGTCCAAAGTCTGACTTAGATTAAGAGCATCAAGTGCTCCAACCCTTTGAATCAAAGTCTTTTCTCCAGAGGGTGGTGAAATGTTGCAAGAGCACAAAGATCCAGCTTGTTCCAAGTAGACTTCAAAAGAATAAGTATCCAGCCTCAGGAATGGAAACGATTTTTGTTTTGTTTGCTGGCAGGGGTGCCTCTGCCTTTAACACTTACCTGTCAGGCTGAAGTTCAATACAAAAGGGTCCCAGCCATTGCAGCACGCCAACCCTGCTGGGGAAAGATGCATCCACTGAACGTGTTCTTCAAAATGGAGGCAACTAGGATGGCTACTTATTCATCATGGAAAAAATGGAAATACCTCATCCCCTCCCCTTCCAAAAGGATAATGAATGAGGATGTGTATTTGCATGAAATACACACATACTAATTGACTGCATAGATGTAAATTTAGAAATGAGTATAAATTTAAATAGAGTACAACTCATTCAAGTGTGTACTTGCCCAGGCTGCTGTTCAGGTCCAATGTTGGTGGGCCAGTTGAAGGCCCCTGCTCTGCCTTTCAAGGGTGAGGGTGGTTTTCTGACAGCTCTTCAAGTAGAAGACTGTCCTCAATAAAGGAGACAACATGACTACTCTAAGCAAGGTTGAGTAATACCAACCAGTTCAGCCCCAGTCATAGAATAATGCAAGTATAAAAGGACTCTATAAAAGCACCTTCTATGTTTTTAGAGCATTTCCCAAACAAATGGGAAGGAGACCTTTGTTCCAAGAGAAAGAGGGTGCTAACAGTTGGCAGAGTACTGGAGGCCCATGCTGTCCCTTCTTCTGTATCCTCTTTCTATGGAAAAAACATAGGTGACCATTTTCTCTATACAGAGAATGGGTTAGCAAAAAGGCTTGAGACCTGTTGAAGTGGAAGAAGAGATCTTTTGGGGAAGGACCAACACTCACAGGTAGTGCACATCCTCTCCATGCAGAAAGTTCCAGTTTCCATCTCTGCATCTCCAGTTAAGAACATAAGAATCTGGATCAGGTCAATCTTGCTGGATCAGGTCAAAGATCCATGAAGTCCAGTACTCCATACATACAGGGCAAACCAGCTGGGTGCAAGACCTCCTGCAAGCTACTGAGCAACTGGTGTATGCAAGCATGCCACCACTGCTAAAGGAGGGAGCACTCAGCCAGGACATCTAGTAGCCACTGATAGCCACCTCCCTCATGAATCTGTCCAATCCCCTTTTAAAGCCACCCAGATTGGTGGCCATCACTACTTCCTGCAGCAGCAAATTCCATAGTCTGACTATATGCTGTGTGAAGTACTTCCTTTTATCTGTTCTCAACCTCCCATCATTTGGCTTCATGGGATGACCCAGTTTGAGTGTTATGGGAGGGGGAGACAAATATCTCACTCTCCACTCCATGCATAAACACCTCTGTCATGTCTCCCCTGATTCACCTTTCTTCTAAGCTGAACAGTCCCAGTTGTCATAGCTGCTCCACACAGGGGAGTTGCTTCGGTCTCTTGATCATTTTCATTGCCTTTCTCTGTGCTTAAAAGGGACCAGCTGGCTTGTATTGGAAGGAGCTCTGTCCAGGAGCCTGGAGTCAGGGTAGACAATGTTAGGTTACAAAGATGGAGAATCTGACCTTAGGAGATATTTGTGTGTGTCCCTGCTTGTTGTATTCTAGCACATCAGGGAGGGGGCTACACTAAACACCTCTCTCTGCTAATTTATTACTCGTGCATGCAGGGAAAGTCTGCTGGGGGTGTCACATATGAAATAGTTCTAAGGTTCTGTTTAGGCTTATTACTCAACTGAGTAAAGGGCATCTGTGTCTCTGAATGTTCTGATCAGTGTATTAGCTCTTTTATGGTATCATAATAACATCACTTGCCAGTAAATAGCTGGTCACATTTTACTGCCTCCCTTTTTCCCAAGAAATCTTCAAGTCTTGATTTGTTTGAAAAGGAAAGCCAATAAACCCATCAGACAAGGAAGCAGCCTTGGCTAGAACTCTTCTCAATATTCTAGCTTTTATTTATAGATTCATAGATTTATAGAACAGCAGGGCTGAAAGGAGCTAAGGAGGCCATTGGTTGCAACCCTCTGCTGGTGCAGGATGCCAAGTCACACCAACCTACTCAGATGACTTGAATGCCAGTTTGTCTTGAATGTCTCCAGGTGGCAGAGCCCACAACCTCTCTTGGCAACTGGTTCCACTGTCATATTGCTCTGTTAGGTTTTTCCTGGTGTGTAGCCTGAATCTGGTGTGCCGCAGTTTAAGTTCATTGTCCTATACTCAAGGAGGAAGGAAAAGACCTCACTCATCCCTGTGACAGCCTTTGAGGTACTCATAGAATACTAACATATCCCCTTATAGTCTTCTCTTCTTGAGGCTAAACAAGCCCTGTGCTCTCAGCCTCTCAACACAGGGCTTAGTTTCTAGACTCTGGAGCATCTTTGTTGTCCTCTCTGACCCTTTCTAGTTTTTCTGAATTTTTTAAAAACCTGTGTACCCAGAACTGAACACATTATTCCAGATAAGGGTCTATCTAATGCAAAATAAAGGGAAATTAGAAGTGATGCTTTTATTTATGCATCCCAAAATAGTATTTGCCCTTTTTGCTGTAGCATAGCATTGTTGGCTCATATTTAGCTTGTTGTCCACAACAATTCTAAGGTATTTTGCTTCTTAAGTGCTATTGAGACAAGTATTTTTCATCTTGTGATGATGCATTTGTTCTTTTTCCCTAGGTGGAGAACGTGGCATTTGTCCCTGTTGAACCACGGGAGGTGGTTGAAGCCCCATCAGTGAGGGTATTCAAGGTTAGGCTACACATGTACATGGTAGGCATGTTGTGAGTGGAGCTGGCTAGAGCTGGGGGTCAGACTACATGGCCTGGGAGGTCCCTTCTGACTCACTCTGTTTCTATGTTTCTAATTTCATTCTGTTGCTTTCTGCCTAGTGTTACAGCTTGTCTGGGTCACCCTGGATCTTCTGTCTTCTGGAGTGTTAGCTATTCCACCCAGTTTTGTGTCAAATTTAATTATTATTCCCTGAACTTCCTCATCTAGATCATTAATAAAGATGTTGAAGAGCACTAGTCCCAGGACTGAGCCTTCTGGCACTCCACTTGTTCTCTCTCTCCAGCTTGAGAAGGTGCCATTGATGAACACCCTCTGTGACTGATTTTGTAGCCAGTTGTGGATCCACCTAATAGTAGTTCTGTCAAGCTAGTTTATCAGGATTTCATGGGACGCTTTGTTGGATGCTTTGCTGAAGTTGCAAGCCGTCTAGAGAATGTTGTAAGCCATCCAGAGATGGAAGTAATGGATGGCATACAAAATTGAGGGGGGGGGGGGGGAGAGAGAGAGAGAGAGAGAGAGAGAGAGAGAGAGAGAGAGAGACCCCAACCCATGTTGGTTTCTGTTCATCACTGGATTTTCTTCAAGGTGCTTGCAGACTGATTTTTTAAAATAATTTACTCCTGTATTTTCCCAGAGACTGACTGGTCTATAGTTCCCCAATTTGTCTTTTTTCACTTTCTTGTAGATGCAGACAACACCAGCTCTTCTCCAGTTGTCTGGTATTACCCTGTTTTCCAAGAGGTTCAGAGAGTTCTTGCACAAGCTCCTTTATGACTCCAGGATGGAGCTCAACAGGTCCTGGAGTTTTGAATGCATCTAGCTCTTCAAGGTGCTCCTTGACCAATGACTGATCTTAGGCTGCCATCCTTCCCTTTCATTTTGTGTCTCCTCCTCCGTAGGCAGGTTGTATTTTTTCTTGTGGGGGAAAACCTCTTCCTTTTCCATGACATCTGTTATCTTTTCTGCTGTCCACGTTGAGTTGTTGAACCCACCATTCTTTCATTTGTATTTTGTTTTGGATGTAACTGAAGGTGGCTTTCCTGTTGTTTTTAGCAAGCCTTGCTAGCCTCAGTTCATACCCTGCTTTGGCCTTCCTGACTCCATCCCTGCAAGTCTTTCCTGTCTATTTATACTCTTCTTTTGAGGCCTGACCTCCCTTCCACTTCCTGTAGATGTCTTTTTTTGCTTTCAAGTTGTCATTTAGGAAGAATGTTTTTAATATTCATCAAGAATATCCCTCTTCTGCAGTCTGAAGAGAGTGCAGGTTACTCTCTTACCTTCTTCTAGGTACCTTATAAAAGCCACCTTTTGTAGCAGGTGCTTTTATAAGGCCCTTTACAGAATTGTGAGTTGGGAGAGATCTCAAAAGATCATCAAGTCCAACCCTGCTAGTACAGTACATCTGTTGTTACTTCATCTCAGACCAGCTAGAGGCACTGGTGGCAGAGCAGAATTCACTCTAAAAATCCAGCCTATTGGACTTAGTGGGACTTACTCCAGAGCAAGCACACATGATCACTGCAACACAGATTTTCTTCTAAATACTACCCACATGTGCAAAAGCCATGGACAGAACCCAACCAAAGGCAAACATATCAAGTCCCACTTGTTCCCAGTTTGGAAGCTATAAAACGTCCTTGCTACTTCTGCCAAAGATTCATCTGGTTAACTTAAGCATGCACTTACACACCCTCCCACCCCTCTGAACTATTCCACTCCACCTCTGGACTGCCCCCTCATTCTATTCTGCCCCAAACACCCAGTCGCAAACCCAGCCTCCCCTCTGCAGGCCAGCAGGATCTGCTTCCCTCCTTGAGACCATCGACACGCAAAGAGTGCCCTTTTGGTACCAGCCTTATCAATGATTACGAAATGGGCTATATTACTTAACTCAGGCAGCAGTTAAGGAAACTCAGACATGGCAACAGTAAGTCTTGTAGCACCTTCGAGCCTAATGAATTAGTTTGGCTTCAGCATTTCTGGACATTGTCCACTTCATCAGATACCAGAAAGTTTGTGTGGTGCAGTGGTTAGATTGCTGGTTGTGGGAAATCTGGCTTCCTGTCTCCCTTTGTGTGACTTTGGGACAGTCATGAACTCTCAGCTTAACCTATCTCACAGGGATGTTGTGAAGATATAAGGGAAAGGAGTGTGTAAGCTATCTTTGGGTTTCTTGAAGGGAAAAAAACAGAATACAATTAATAAAAATGAGTTTGTTAGCCTGTGAGGTACCAGTATGGCCTTCATCATTTTTGTGATAACAGACTAGCACAGGCAATACAGCCAATGAAAGATGATGGCTCTTAGACTATTCTACATGCACGCATACATGCAAGTATGCACACACATGGGGTGGACAACTTGCAACTCTTCAGATGTTTTGGCCTGCAACTTGCATCTGTTCCAGCCAACATAGTCAATGTTGCAGGATGATGGGAGTTGTAGGCCAAAACTTCTGAAGGGACACAAGTGGCCCAGCCCTGACAGGGGAATAAAAAAAAGCATTTGCAGCAGCATATTTAGCTGCCTCCAGTTTTCCTCATCTCTGCAGTGCCCAAGTATCTGCACACCTGCTCTGTGCTTATTCCTTTCTGTTCTGAGACTCCTGCTTCTTTGCATCCTTCATGCTTGAGATGCCTGGCTTGCCTTGGTTTATGAACTTCTCATAGGAAGGGTGCTAGAGTGATTACAGCATCCAACTGGGGTGATTCCCACTCTTAGGCCAGTCACGGTCTCTCAGCTGCACCAAGCTCATGGGGTTGTTACAAGGCTAGAATGGGGTCAGGGATAACCCTGAATGCCAGTTCAGTGGAGCTTTATGGCCAATTTGCTTCCAGGTTCACCCTTTTAAATGGTCAGCAAATTAACAGTGCATTAAGATCCATGTTTGAGCAGAGATTTCTGCATTTGATGCTCATTTTTTTTTTGGTCAGACTCTGGATGGAATGGGATAAACTTTCCCCCAGACCAGGCCAGTAAAGACAAAGCATGCACAGTAGCAAGGAAATGCTGTTTGATGGGTCGTGGGGGACCCACAACAGAATGCCTGGAATCCTGAACAGAGGCTGTTCCACCCTTTATTGACCGCTCCCACTTAATCATTTTTAAACTGTTTCCTCCCTTTCTTCAATCCTTCTTTGCATACGCTAGCATTGTCCAAGCAGCTGCTTCCCAGATATTTGGCCTACAACTCTCAGCATTCCTGATCACTGGCCATGCTGACTGGGGCTGATAATTGGAGTCTAAAACATCCGAACGGCACCTGGTTGAGGCAGGCAGGCTCTGCCCCAGCTGCCCTCAGTGACATCAGGGCAGTTCAGCCGGACAGGACTGCTCTCAGGATACAAAATAAAATGGCTTAACTGCTGAATCAGAATCATACAGTTGGAAGGGGCCTAGAAGACCCTCAAGTCCAAACCCCTGCTCAGTGCAGGGCTCCAGTCTCCTCTCCAGAGTCTAACCAGGCCTAACCTTGCTTAGCTTTCAAATTTAGACAGAATCAGGCACTTCAAGCTATATACTGAGTAGGGGTAGAGGACATAGAATGGCTTTCCCAAATGACTTTCAAATAACTTGAGTTATGGTCCACTTTTTACTAAAAATGGCATTCAAAGCACCTTACAGAAGTATATTAAAATAGCATAATAATAATCACAAGGAACACATAATTATAAAAACACCACCCAAGCCACAGACCCACTTACAGACCAACAGCCTTCTTGAATAAAGCAGAGGGGAAATAAACAATTAGCTTACAGTTAAGGGCCCTGCTTATGATCCATCTTAGTCCAGTTGCCATTTTTGAGGATTGGAGTGGCTCCCCACTTCCCCAGGCCATGTTTCCCAGAGACCTGAAGCCTATGGTGCAGTTCACTTGCTTGAGCCATCTGGAATCATTTCTGGGCTGCTTTGCAAGCTGCTCTCTTTCAGTGTGTTCCCCTGCTTCATTTGCGGGCCACTGGGTGGATGGATGAGGCTCCTATGAGGCCCTGCTTTGCTTCCCCTCCTGCAATGCGGGAACAATCAAGTGGAACAAGCCTAAATGTCCCCTTTGCCTTCTTATCCCCCTTTTCTTTCTGGCAGGGCAGTTTATGCACTGTGGGAGCAGCAAGTTAAAGATGGAACAGGCACTGGTTGTTTATTTGGTTTATTTTTAATCAGTGCAATGCTTCTAACCACCTTTTTATTAAGCCACTTTAATATTTTTGGTTTTGGTTACGTGGAAGCATTTTTAATGGCAGGTATATAAAATGGCAAAGCACATTTATAAAGTTGGAATTGGAACATTCTAACTAAAGAGTTTGTAATATGCAGTTATATTGCTGCTTAGGGGCACAGCTTTTCCTTACTGGTTTTAACATGAATGGCCTTGAGAATGAGCGAGGCAGGATAAAAATGGTTGTTGGGCCAGAGAAACTGAAGACTGTAAAAGCTTGTTAGATTTAAGGTCCATCTAATTCAACAGCCAGCCTGCACCAGTGATAAACTAAATGCCTCAGAAATTCTCTGAGATTATAATTTTCCAGCTTTGGGTACCCGGCATTCAAATGCGACCTGCAGCAAAATACTGGCACTGTGAAATGCTCCTATTCAGGATGCCAGACAGCCATGTCCTCTTCCAGGACACTGCACTTCATTCCTCCTTGCCCTTAGGTTTTCAATTTTGCCCTGCTCCAACATTCATGTGAGCATTCCACAATCATTGAACATATACAATCTGTATTAGGATGTTACTTAGCTTCCCTTCCAAAGATTTGCTGGACTGCCACAAACCTTGGAGTTTCCCCAAGTCTGCCAATGGTGCCATTTTATACATTAGCCACTATTTTGACTAATAAAGATCCACCATGCAAGTTCAGTTGGGGCATATAGAATACTGAATATATGAATGTATCCTTTCTCAAATATGTTTAACATAGGACTGCCAAGGACATAGCTAACACACCTGTTAGACAGTGGGTGTGTGGGCAGCAGGCACAACCCCCCTCCTCGAGTGGTGCTTTTTGGAACACAGCCAGTAAATATATGCAATGCTGTTGCCCGAGTTCATAAAGATGCTTTAGATTTATCATCTCAGGAACCTGCTTAAGACTGTTGACCATGGCTTTGTGCTCATGTCAAACTCCAGTTCATTTATGAAATAGCACCTGCTGATAAACAAATCCTTTGGAGACCTCCATTTTTTTTTTTTTTTTTGCTAGTTGGAGAGAAAAAAGTAATTCCCCATCAAACCTTCAAAAGAAACTTAGTAATTATGGGACATTCCTTTTATAGAAAGGTTATTGGTTACACAGGAGGCAGAAGGTGAGGGCTTTCTTTAAAGCTTAGAACATAGTTTGACCTGAAGGTTATTTGCCAAAAACTTCAAGAAATGTCATCAGTTTAACAAAGCAAGGCTTCCTTTGCTGAAGTAATGCCAATTTTCCTTAGGGAAGAGCTTGTTCATATATGTATGCATAACAATTTTGAGATTGTGGTTGTGCTAAAAGGTTTGAAATTTCTTGGCAATGTAATTGCCTTAAAAGAAAAACCTAGTAGCATACCAGTTCCTCTGATCATAATATCAACAGGCTAATTGCAAAAATGTTACAATTTCACATAAAATGTTCAGGTGAATGACATGCAGTGCGAATCCTCCTTGCTCTCAGAACTATAGATTAGCCATGAACTCTCATGCATCAACTTTCTTCAACATTGCTTTTAAAATGCTCAATAATATTTCTTATCCACCTCATATCAATGAATTTCAGGACAAGTTACAATCAAGAATTCAAGAACATATAAAACAGTGATACACCATAAGGTATATAAAATCAGCTGCTGTAAATTGGAATTTTGCAATGGTCCATAAGACTCCAAAGTTTTGCTAACTAAGGTCCTAATCTGGTGCTGAAATTAGACTATCAGCACCAGCTAGATCTTGGGGTGGGAATTTTTGTAACTGGGTGAAAAAGCATGTCTGCACTAAGGCCTGATAAAATTTCCCTTCCTTTTACATTGACAACCACTGGTTATTTCCAATCTGTTTCTGGCTGTTGACCTCCTTAGTATACATTAGCATTAGTTGGCATATCTTTAGCAGTGGGCTCCATGAATTGATTTGTGACTTGCCCACCGCTTTTTGCACAAGAATTTTGCTTTAAGTTCCTCTATCAACTGGGTAAGTTCCACTTTAAAATCAGCTTCTTTATTTATTAGGGGCTTGGTTTGCACTATTTCTAAATGAAGATAACCACTCCTTCAGAGAATAGTTATTTTAGAAATTCCTAGATGTGTCCCTAAATTTGATGTGATTTCACTTAATTACTTCCCACCCAAGTATCCATGCTCCAGCAATTCAATTTGATCAATCCCAGAAGATGGTTTTCATTGAGTTTAATAAAGGGTGAATATTTAGACAAAAAAGTCCTACTGCTCCCAGCATTCCAGCAAAATGCCCCCCCCCCCAATTTAAACAGGCACAAGATTGCTCCCAGGGAAGTTTGAAAAGAAACTAAGGTTATCCCCATTAATGTGCATGAATTATCATCCCTGAGGAACAGAGAGGTATCATCAAATGATGTTTTCTAGGGTTACCATAGCCTGCAGTGAGTTTGACATGCACCTGGATAGGATAGCTGGTGCAGTATCATATATGTCGAGGTGAAAATACAGGAAACCTCAAGTATCCAGAGTCTCTCTTCCTCACTTCAACAGTAACAGTCAAACACTGAAACCCAAGTTCTCAAGGGGTATTGAGAACTATGCTGAACTATGGGTTTTAACAACTTTTTAAAACATTCAAACTTGTTAAAATCAACACCATGAATAAAAACCAAATAGGAACAGTTATGGTACAAGTAATGTTTATACTTATGAACAGACTGACATGCACCAGTTTCACAAATTTACAAACACTCCAGGCATCACAGAAAATGTTACAGCTTCTTTAAATGGAATAGGATAGAGGGTTTAAGTAAATAAGATCTTAAAAGAACTAACACTAGATGTTGAGGTGGTGCTTTACAGATCATAAAAACCACAAAACAGGAAAGTAGTTATAAAAATATGAGGAAGCTAAACAGTGACAGCAATGTTAATGGGGATAAATGAGTTTTCCACAATGCCAAAATGAAACATATTCAGACAAAGCAGCAAGACACCAATTTTTATTAGACCAATTTCTCATCCCTTTCAGGTTAATACAATTCCTTATATTGGAGGATTAGCCCAGGTCAAATATAAAGTTGACCTCACTTTAATATTCCTTTTTATATGTTAAGCACACAATACCATTCATTCATAGACTTCAAAACTGAAAGTTACAGTTGTGATATTGAGAGTTAAAGAATGCAAAAAGCAATAACCAATCAAAAGATGTACTTCAACACTATTGATCCTTTTTCCTATATTGGTCACCTTTGACATCCAAAGCAGAGCAAGTCAGATGAACAGAGATCAGACAGGGTGATCAGCTGAAATTAATGAAAGTGTGATGGCTGCCTGAAATTCAGACCAGTTGGCAGATGTTCCACAGGGCAACCAGAATCATTAGCAGCAAGTCATCACATGAATTTCAGCATATTCACCAAACCATTATAAATGAGGGAGAACATTTGCAGCACTGGTGACAAGGTCAGGGACAGGAAGAGAAACAATCCATCCTGATTGATACAGTGAACTACTAACCATGTAGACTTGTGCAACATGTCATCCTCCAGCTGTTTTGTCCTGCAACTCATATCATTGGCTATGTTGCCCATGGCTGCTGAAAATTATGGCCTACAAGTTGCTTAGCCCTGACGGAATCAAGTTTTGAGCTACCACCACACAGCTCCAAGCTTCTAAGGCTGTCTTCCCTTTGCAAACAACAGGCCTTACTTCTGAGTAACACAGCAGACTGAACTATTATTTGGTTGGTTCCTCTAATTCTTGAACAATAGAACACATTGTGCCCTGAGCCTCTGCATCAAGTTACTGGCAGTTTTAACACAGCAAGCAGTGGTGGGAGCAGGCATTAAGAAGAAAGTATTGATGTGGAAGTAAGCCAAGACTTAGCTTAAGATCATGTTTCAGTGGAATTGATGGTCTGCCAATAAAGCAAACAGACATCCGCCCTGCAGTTGGCTGAAAGCTGCTCTGTGGATGCAGATTAGTTGGGGCTATTTCAGTAATAAGAAAGCCCAGCTTCACTCCTAGGTAAAGCAACAACCTAGATACATCAAGGTATTTGTTGTAATCCCCTTTCGTTGACTTACTTGCGTAAGTCAGTACTATATAGGGTATAGCAGAGCAACAAAGCTTTAATTTAATGGTGCTGTTAGAAAAAGGTTCAGAGGAACTATTGTCAGCCATTATCAGAGCCTTAGGATCTATGTATTCCACACATTTTAAACTGTTTAAACTGCAAGTTTCACCAAGCCATTATTACAAGCCAATGACAATGAACCTTTAGTAAAGACTTTAGGTTACACTTCAAACCTGTCAAGGACCTTTTCTGCAAGATTCTGGCAACAAGACTGTAATTTTGAAAGGGCAAATATTTGACACAATTTACCTTGGCAAACAAATTAACCCCAGTGACATCCTTTCAAATCTGCTGGGATGGATCCAGAGTGTCCGCTTTTCAAGTGGTAGGTCGTCTTCTGTTCATGGAAGTGACCAGGGTTAGCAGAGGGTCCTGCTGGATTCCCCATTCTTTGCAAATCAGTTTGAGCCCAGGTGGAAAAAGGCAAAAACTGCTTTCTCCTACTCCAGTGAGCATCCAATGGGAAGTAGTCTACAGCCAAACTATTAAGTATACATACCAAATAAAACATTAGCTAACATTACCTACATTCAAGTTTTAGTGGTTGTTACAGACCAAACAAAAAGGAACAATGTATGTTCTCATGTATGGCCATATAAACTATGGAAAACAAGAATTAGGTATAAAAAGTAGACTTTGGCATCCAGCAAGTTTAGACAACTTATACAGGCACTTGCATTCTGAAGCTGATATAAACAGATCCAGCTCAGTAGTACACATGTCAATTACATCTCCTATGAAAAATATGCTGCAAGTAATGGCAATACTTCCATTGTTTTTCTTCTTCTTTAGAAACTTTTCAGTCCTGCAATTTTTTACTACCTGGAAGTAATAATTATTCTTATACTCAGTAGTTTGAAGAGCACCATAACATCTGAGAAATATTTAGTATTTTTTAACAGATGTCATAGTTTACCTTCTCATCAACATATTATGTACCAACACCTTCTGCTTGTTTCATCTGTAGCTCATTTTCTACCATCTTGGACCAAATGAATTTCAAATAGTGAGAAGTCTTAAGAACTTGTGACATATTCAGATCTGGGTGTTAATAATGTGCAATTGTCGTTTGGAATCAAATGTTGTAATCAGGGCCAAGTTCTTAAGATCTTGTAGGTCAAAGATCACATTAATATATACATCAAAATCAGTATTTACAATTATAGAAACAAATCATTTGTTTTGTCACTAATTCTTTCCCCATAAAATAGCGCTTCTCACTGGTTTAGCAATCCTTTATTGAAGATAACAAGTTGGTTATGTTCACTGTATTGTATGAAACATCACAATATCATACTGGGAAGGTACTATCAGTACAGGATTGGACCAGAGCAGACAGTCTGAACAATAAACCATTTTGCATTCTTCGTTCCCTAGCTTTTAACAACCCAAAAAAAAAAAAAAAAACCCAGTAGGGACAAATACCTGTTAACATCATCATTTAGAACACTTTAACTTACAAGGCTAAAATCTAATGAATAAATAAAATATATTGTGGCAATAATCCTCTCTAGACCCCCACCCCATCCCAAACAAATCAGATACACAATGAACCAAATGATTGGGAAAGCTGGCTATAGGCACCAGATCATAAGAGTGTACACTTGTGTATAGGGATGGGTGGGGGGGTACAGAAAAATACCATGAATTTTATTTCACACAAAACCAGTTGATGACTGTCGTTAGCTTAAACTACACACAAGGGTAATTACATCCTCGTTGAAACACAGTTTAAACAAATAGGAAAATGTTTACAAGGCATCCACAGCATGTAAATCATGTACAGATGGATACATTCATTGTTTCCCCTCCCCAATAGCTTTTATTTATTTATTTATTAGATAAATACTTTACTCTTCTCCACTTTCAGCATTAACTGGACTCAATACATGCACAACTCAAAAGAATTAAGAAAAAAATAAGGTTATTGCAAAAATAGAATTAAACTAAGAATCTTCAAGTACCTTACGTGACGGCCACTCTGTACCATGCCCATTGCTTATAAAATGAAAGGTCACTGAACCCATGAAAATATCTCTTAATATTTTCTTAGATTTAAAATAGATAATTTTAGCTGTATTTATAGTAATCTCAAAGTGATAATTTGAACTTTGTAAATAATGCAAACAATTAAAAATTATACCCATATTACACAAGACCTCTCTTTTAAGCTGGTAGAAATCAAAGGAAAAAACTATAGAAAACCACATTTAGAACAAAATCACAATTTACATTATAAAGGCAAATATTCAGCATTTAAAAAAAACTTGCAGCAATGAGTGAGATGTCAAAGCAAATTACAACTAACCATAAATTAAGTTGTTTGGTTTAAAAAGATTTCTTCTAGCAAGAGTTTAAGGATGTGTTATACACATGCGTAAAATTCTTATTGGTTTTAGATGCCTAAAATCTCCTTATATTATTGCCAAATACACTTTTATCTTAAGCAAGCAGTAGGCAACATATCACAATTTGGACACTGTAGGGAAAAACCTAACAGTCTGGTAATACAGATAAAACTGGAAAATTAAAAAGAAAATACACATCCTATAGCATATTGCCCAACTGAAATGACTTCCAAGCCCAGAGCTGCAAAAGCCTTCCATCTTGGTAAGGTGAAGTAAGTAAGTGTCTCATTACAATTACTTGCACTAAGTCGTGCTTGTATTCTATGTTTTGTTAAACCATAGTGTGTCTTCAGAGTACAACTACAATCCCATGGTACTTTATGTACATTTAGTGATGTGCTCCCAGCATTAATCCTTCCTTGGTTTTTAGGGCACAGGCTCCATAAAGATGTAACCAATACGCCCAAGGCTGGTAAAAATACTGTAGTACAGGCAATGCTAAGAGTGGCAATATCAGAAAACACATATATGAACAAATGATGTAAAATCCTAATAATTTCTTTCTGCCCATTTCACAAATGTTGGAAATCCACCAGAATTTTTCCCTTGTATTGAAGAAAAATGATTAAAAGTTTTTCCCCCATTTTTTTCAGATGCAAAAGCATTTTAGGAGGTCTGTAAGGCTACCACGGATCTTCTAGATCGCCAGCACCCTACAGAAAAAGAAGAGGGAAAGAGTTAGTTCTCTACTGACCTCCAAAAGGTATAATCCATTTTGTCCTGAATTGCAATACAGGAAAAATATGTTCCTATTGGAGAAAGTAAAAACAGGCACTTCTGGTTTTCACATTCAGATGAGGCTGTATGTTCAGAGACTTGAAAATGGTGGTCCCACAACATAATAGCAATAAAGAATATATTGCACAGAATACAAACAGCCTGAAACAGTGTCCAAGCAGATCTGCTAGCCAATCAGTTTAAAAATTTAGTAGCATGAGAGCAAAATTGGTTTTAAGTACTTCAAAGTGAATATTTTATAAATGTAAATGTGCCAAAAGTCACACCCAAAGAGGCAGAGAGGTAGGTTTCAAACACAGGCTATTTACATGTTTGTAGCTATCCATGCTATTGCTTATATATTTCAATGTGTATACAGTGAGGCAAAAACCTAATAAAGGCAGTAAATATTGCATGCATTGAAGTAAAATATATTGTTGATTGAATGAAAATTTGATTATAATGAACATGATCTCTCCTTATAGGTTATGAAATTCAACATATTGTTCTTGAACATTTACTCATACTTTATAGTTGCTCTGTTTGATGGAAGCTTATTCTACTCAAATGGCTTAAATAAATTCAATATGCATTCAAGTTATTCCACACATTTTTATTTGGTCTTAAACAATAACTCATGAACTAAACACTAATTATCAGTACATATTATCCACTGGATACATAGTGTTATATGTGCATCCTGAATACATTTTTAGAAAATTGAGTACAGGGAATATAGTCCAAATTACAGCCTAACATAACGCCATATATTTTAGTGACTAGCTTAACATGTCAACTTAAAGGGCTATGTATCTTTCACATGGACTGTTCACAAATCATATACAAACATGCATTATCTACATTACCATGTAAGTCAAAAATGTGTTATAAGCAAACTGTATTGCTGGATTAAGATGTCAATTTTAGGCTTTATCAAAATATAATGAAAATCACAAAGGTTATGTCTTCCACTGGTATGCATTTACAATTTGACATTCTTCTAGGATATCAAATTCCAGGGCAATGCCATTTAGACTTAAATCCACACAAACCTCTTTACCAATATCTAGGAACACAGGCGCGCTGCTCCCTGCCATGCATGCAGAGAACAAGCAGTGACAATGCTATTCAAGCTACAATTCATAATGGCCAAGTTTCTCATAAAGAACTCCCACATACACAAAATGCCTTTTATGCATGTAGCCAGCACATACAAAATGAAGAGAAAAACTAATTTACTAAGATGTGACAAATATGGAGAGACGAAGACATTATAATAACTAAACCATCAAGTCATCTGTGTAAAAAATGAAGGTATTACATCTTTTTATCACACTGTTCATTGCTCATCTCTGAATCTTCATTAGCACTCTGCTGGTGCTCACATTCTGCTCTGGGCTGGGTCCCTTGATCACTGGAGCCAAGACTGGAAACTGAAGTTGAGGCTGTAGCTGATTCACCAGAGCAATCTTCTCCCTGCATTTTAGCTAGCCTGTAACTAATCAGCACGTCCTCCAGGAGGTGGCGATAGTTCCCCCTATGAGTAATTCTCACTTGTCTGAGAGCTTCCACCAACTTTCCCTGTGTTCCACCTTCCGCAGCTTCGCCAGGGTCCTTATTTAAGATTCAAGACCCCAAAATGAATAGTTAAACTAGTGTGTATTTCTAAAATATTTAATACATTCAAAATATGAAAAATAGAAGGTTTATGCCCTAGAAATAAACTTTCAATCCATAAGTCTAGGCAAGAATTTTGACTGTTCTGATTAATATGATTACAGGAAATTTACAAATTAAGGAACCAGATCTTCATATTCTGCCCGCTGATGGACATGCATAGTGTTAATCAAATGAGTCGTAGATGAAAGGATACCAATTATAATTTGTAACTTTTCTGAGTTATACACACCTCTCATGTTTCAAAACAAAGCAAACCCACAAAAATCTGTGAACAGCTTAAGTAAAATGAGTTGCCATTTAAGTCTTTTATGTAAAGGATACTTTAGATGTAACTGAGTGATCCACATGCCAACTGAATTAATTCATGGAAATAATGTGTACTTCTATCAGCATGAATTCCAAGCTAAATCACCATACAAAAGGACAAATCTATCCAGAAATGCACATTACATTCTAAAAAGAAATCCCCAGAATTCAAGAAACATACGGCCAAAGGAAAACCTGCATCTAATTTCAAGTCTGCTGGAGGTTATGATTTTAAGGTGCTCCCTCTCACAGTACTAATACTTCAAGTTGACTCAATAAAGCTGAATGACATGAGATTCAGGACAGGAAATGAAAAAAGTACTTCAAACACAGTGCATAAACTATGGATTCTGTTACAAGATACAGCAGTGGCCATTAGTCAAAGGTTTTTAAAAGGACTATTAAAGGGATTAAACAAATTCAAGAGGGATAAGCTTCTCAATGGCTACTAGTCAGGACGACTACATACCACCTCCAGGATCAGAAGCAGTATCTCTGTACACAGATGCAGGGGAAAAACAATGGGACAAGATTATTGCCCTCATGTCCTGCTTGTGGGCTTCTCCTAGACATCTGGTTAGGCAAAGTGCAAAAACAGGATGATGTGCAAAACAGGATGATGGGCTAGATTGGTCAGATCCTGGAGGGCTCTTCATATGTACATTATGTTTGATTACCTGGGATTAGAAATACCAAGGACCACTGTTAACAAAAATAGCTAGTGGCCAGCAAAGAAGCCTGATGGCTTCCTTTCAATACAATAGACTAGTCTTCCAATACTACAGAGTATATGACAAAGGCTCTTCAGTAAACTAGCACTACACCTTATATTACTTTTCAAACACTAATACAAAACATGCTGGCACAAACCATGGGAACCAGCTGTTTAGTTTATTTTCTAATAAGAGTTTACCAAATTAGTACATATCATAAATGAAAAGAACAGAACTTGAAATTTTAAAACATCAAATGTGGGGAAAAAGAACAGATTCATGCATCTTTTCTGATATACATTTCTCTTGCCTCCACCAGCTGAAACTTCCTTGAGATTCAAGCTGTTACTCTTTAACGAAACAAACTATAAATCAATTCGGACCAAACAAAGCACAATAGAATTAGTCTTTGAGTTTAAATACAGAACAACCAACACAGACACAAAGAAAGGGGTTGTTTTATGGTAATTTTTATTTGTTCTTAATTTTTTGTTTAAAATGTTCATATTTTTAGTAAGAATATATAGCATTTTATTGTACTTTATTACACTGTTTTTATGTACTACTGAAAGTCACCGAGAGAGTTTCAGCTATTGGACACTCTAAAAATAAAATAATAGAGTCAGGTCTGATTTTAAACGCAAAAAGGGTTGCATGATGAGGAATACAAGACCTTCTGCCAACAGCTGGTCCCTGGAGTCCTCCCAAGCCACTTTCTTCCAGCCAAGCACTTTTTTAAAAATGTGGTGAAGAGAAAAGGGCTTCAGGAGAAAAACTGCTAGAAAGAGTTTTGCATGCCTCAATCACATAACCCTCTGGCTTGCAGTTCTCATGCTGTCATGGCCAGGTTGTCCTTAATATGCCTGTGAAGGGAGTGGGGAGACACCAAATTCTGAAACGCCATGTGTTTCAAAAGCACTTTTTACTGTTTTTCAAGTCTAATAAATAAAATAAACTGGTGCTGAACCACCACAGAAAGACAAGGGACGGTTCACTGTCCTATTTTGGGGGGCAAGGGGACCATACACTGTTCATGAACAACCTTCATTTTTTTCATAAGGCTTAAGTTAATTAAACCAGGAAAGTTCAAAGGAGAAGGACCATAGCTCAGTAACAAAGGGCATGCTTTGCATCCAGAAGTTCCTTAGTGCAGTCTGCGGCAGATTTAATTCCTTGCCAATTTAAGCATTATTCCTGTTGGAAAGGTAGAAGAGATATTTAAAGGAGCAGATACAGAATGCACATAGGAAGTTGCAGGGGAGAGCTGGTGACAGAGAAGTCTCATTCCACAAGCAGTATCCTTCTGTTGACAGGATAATAGTTTGGGATTCAGCTCAAACAAACAGACCCTGCAGAAAAAAAAGATTCTTGCCTGAATCCCAAGATAACTGCTGCCATTTATCATCAACATTAGTGAGATAGTTGGACCAATGATCTGAACCGGAATACTGTAGGTTCCTATGTCCCAAGGGGAGTAGAAAACAAGGGGATGTATACAAAGCTGCCCACGACTGCTTTCATTCCATGTGTGGCCACCACCAATTCCACTGCATAACCAATTCTAGCATTTCCGGAAACACTTATTTCTGGAACAGCTTGGGCCACTGGAGATCCCTTATGTGAACTCTATCAGCCTGCCCTGAGTTGCATGTGGAAGTGCAAAAGTTCTGTTCCACAATTGGTGGATGCTGCTTGTGGAACAGGATCAGCAGGAATTTGGCCCAACATGAAAAAGCAAATAAATACAAAAACAAGATGTGTCAAGCATTTAATTCCAACAAGAATAAAATATACTGTTCTAGGGTATTTTAACAATGGGTTCTTTTATAGATTCTTTGAAACCTACATCTGCCCAGCTGGGAAAAATAAGGCATTAATACCACCTGCTCACATGAATCGCTGATTCAAATATCAGAGGCCTGAAGTTTCTTCTAGTCTTAGGATGATTCAGCAAACTACATTATACATTTATTTTGCATCTTATGAGCTCTCCATTTTCTAATAGTAATTTCTAATAGGAAATTAAATTTGTAGAGCTTCAGAAAGTATTCACACCCCAAAATTAGGAGAAGTGTCAGAATGCACAAAAGCAAATCTATAAACATGTGGTCCAGAAAAAAGATCAGATTTCTCTAATCTGGCTTTACTTCACCTATTAGATCAAATTTTATGTATTTATGAATTTAAAACTTTTTTAGACTGGTGTTGAACCACCACAGAAGTCTCAGGATGACTTACCGAAGTCCCAGGATGGTTTAACAATAAGACAAATATGTCATTGGTATTTGGATTAGTTTGACAATTGGACTTAATAATATCACTTGTGAATACAGATTAGTTCATTTTTTACAATGGAAAACTATTCACAAAATATATGCATACTTATATGAACTCATGTCATTTCTTATTTTGCAGACAAACTATGCCCTTGTTGCATATTATCCATTTCTGAAATGCCACAAGAAGCATTCTGAGTACTGCAGGCAACCCAGGCTACATTTTCAACATTGAGAAGTCATATTTTAGAAAAGGCCAATCATGAGCCAAAATGTTAAGACTGATGTAAAGAACCCACCCTCATTATATTACATACTCAAATAGCAGATATACATATTAGATAAGCCACTTAAAATTCATACAGCAGTTTAAATTTTAAAGAATTTTGAAGGAACTTGGAAACCTAAACGCTCTGTTTCCATCTGGCCTTATGGCTGGCAAAAGACAACAGCATAGAAAAATTCAGCAAGCTTATACTAGACACAGGCAATAGAATCTGAAGATACTCTAGGGACCCAAAATGCCACTGAGTAAATCTGAGTCTACATTAGAAGTAAACCACTACTGCTGCTTCATAATTCAGTTGCAGAATACACATTTTGCATGCAGGAAGTCCCAGGATCAATTCCTTACATGTCCAGGTGGCACTTAGCAAGCATGGAGTGCTGCTGCCCATCAGTGAAGAGAAACCAAGCTAAACGGACCAATGGTCTGTCCTGGTATATGGTGGCTTGGAGGAAAGCAAAAAGTAGTTCCTATCTATCTCTTATACTAATATTACCTAGGACGGTGCAGAGAAACATAAGCTTCTGATGCAGTCCATCCTTTATCCTGAAGGGGAAATCTACATACATGCAATCCTGGCACACATGACTATATTTCATGTGTTAGTGTCAAACACCACATTCACATGTGATAATATACATTATGTTTTTGATAGTATATAGGTAAATATGACTGGTTAATAGTATTTCAAGTATAGGTATTCCAAATACACTGATCAGATGTTAATACTAAGTTGCAAGTGATGTTTTAAACATTAACCTTAGGAGTGTTTATTTCAATACAGTTCCTGTACTCTTGCAACATTTTAATTAAGCTGTTCACACACTAACACACATTTTACAAGCCAATTTTCAAAACAGACACAAACCTTCAACTCAGATTATCATCCACTCTATGTTATAGGCATTTACAGTACAGATGTGTACATGAGAAATGATTTGATGGAACACGACAGCTATGAAAAGACTGTCAATAAAAAAAGCATACAGTCTACCAAGCTAACTTTGAATGTAGATTACTTTGCTCATATTCTCTACAGTTGTGGCTTGAAAGTCACATTTCACAATCGCACAGTAATGTTAACTTAGGGCACAATCCTAACATGCTTAGAAAGACAAAAGCGCCACAACTTCCAGCAAGTCCCAGCCAACACAGCTGGCATAATACACACTTTTGTAAATGTCTAAACTTGCATAGGATTGCACCTTTACTATAAAAGCATAGCTTTGACTATCAGGGGAACACGCTGAGCTTTGGAAATTGATGCAGGCTATGTGCATATTGGCTCACTTGGCTTAATATGAAAGGAATGCAGCCCACTCAAATCAGGTGCCCACAACAGATTTTATATGATCTGTCAAGGCTAAAAATTCAGATTATGTGATGCTACAAATCACTGTAGATTACAACAGAGCTTGCTAGGATTCTGCTAACCACACATTGATTCTATAATCTTTAATACAACCTTCACCTTAGCTTCGGGCAATAAGACACTTCTGATTATTGCAGACCCACACACCAGTCATGCTGCTAGGTATGCTATTAACAAGCCTAGGGAGTGTATTTTAAGTTTAAGTAATTGTAATCATAGAGGTGTGATTAAGGTTACACTTGATATAGTTGAACTGGTTTTTAAAACTGACAGCTGGACTACCAGTAGAAAGATATCTGTTCAGAATTTACACATTTATACCACAACTTCTTCAAATTCCCTTCAAACTATCTTCAGCAGAAACCAGAATTTTGTCATTTATAAACAGCTCCCTCTTATTATATATTGTCCTGTTTGTCTGTCTACTAAGCAGCATAGCATAACAAATGAAACTGCCTCCACCAGAAAGGCAAATAAGAAATCAGGTACATACATATCTGGTAAAGGGACCAAGAACTCAATCAGCTTTAGCATTAGGAGGATATGTGATAAGACACAAGATGTTCTAGCAGTAGCTGTATAAAATATGTTTATGTCTTAATTAAAATTATTTACACAGATCATTAAGTAATGCTAGAAGCACTAGTCCCTCTTGTGCTCATGGTGAGCCCCACATGTGTAAACAGTGGGAGCAAAATTGGTAGTATTAGATACTGTCCATTTACCTGTAAACATAGAGCTATAGTATTCCCCTAAACTGAAATACTGTAGTTTACTTGCATCAATGTAAGCTAGCAATCAAATGTACAACTTACCCCATCATTCTCTCTGTGTGGGTTCAGCCTGTTATAAACAGCTTCAATAATATTTCGCCTGGAGAAAGATAACATTTTAAAGTTATGTTTTCAGTATTAATTTTCAAAGGCAGTACTTTAAGCCCAGAATCTGGCCTCCATCTGTTTGACCTCCATGGAAAACAGGAGGTGGCCTAGACTGACCTTCAGTCTGATCCAGAAGGCTGTTGTTAAGCACCCTGTTGGAAAGTCTGCACCATCCCCAAAGTACTCCCTGGCTGCAAAATGTAGGGCTGTCATCAGGGATACTTTAAAGGCTGCAGCTAGAGTCTGATGGTAGTACCTTAAGATTTTATAATTCTGGTAGCTTCTGAACATAGTTTCAAGTTGTACTTTAAAAACCCCTGATGTTGAGGTTTATGAGGTATAAAATGTAAAGATATATCTTTTTCAATTCCTAGCAGGAGAGACCAACTTGAAGTTTAGTACAGAGTAGGGAAATATGAATTCCATGAAGACTGGTCCAAATTAGTATGGTGATAATTTTAGAAATGTACTCCCACAATGCCAAACTTAGATGTTATAACTCTGAACAATACTAGAGCTCTACAACTATTAGCACTTTATTTAAGAATTATGTTTGGATAGTTTCGATTGCTGCATGGAAAGTCTGAAACTCACTACTACTAGTAGTATGATAATAGAATGAAGTTCTATGGTGTAGAATGGACTCAATATCTAGAATGGGATGTGCAGTGAAGAGCAGCCTTCAACTTTAATGTTTATTTTTCTGGACCTCTGGAGATTTTGTTTGCTTGTTTTATTAGATTTATATCCCACCTGATTAACTAAAATTGTTCTCCTACATCCTGGCATGGATATTATTATTACACTGAATTTATCCCCCCCCCCCACCACCCACTTTTCTTCTTGCAAGGAGTCCAAGATGGCTCACAAGGTTCTCCTTCCTCCCCATTTTATCTTCACAACAACCCTGTGAGCTACTTCAGGTGAAGAATTTGCGACTGGCCCAAAGTCACCCAGTGAGCTTCATGGCTGAGTGGGGTCTAGAATCCAGATCTCCAAGTCCAACACTCTAACCACCATGCCACATGGGTGCACACACACACACATGCTTTGCTAAGTAGTGACTAATAACTATGCAGTTTTAATTGTGCATAATCCACAATCCTGATATATTCAAGGCAGAGAAATAAGTACACAGAAGTCTGGTAGAATTTTTTTTTCCTACAGGAGGACCCCCTTATCCACTGGTTCAGATACCGTGTTTTCAGTTAACTGCAGTTGACTTCAGCCCAAAAGAGAAGCAGGAAAGTACCATAATGTGCCAAAGAGAAGCTGTAAAGTGTTTACAGTAAGTGAAGATTCTCGATTGAACAGGGAAAGAAAAAAATCATATGCTGAGGTAAGAACAAATGAAATTGTGAAGTGTATACAGTATAATATAGTGTTCACTTTTAACAGCAGTTTCAGATACTACTGGAGGGATTGGAACTGGTCCTGCTCAAAATCCTGCTGTATTTTATAACTCCTAAGTTAAAGGCAAAGATGCACAAGCAGAAGAAATTCTGGCAGTGGCACCATTTAGTAAACGTTGTGCAAAGGTAGCCCCAGCCCCTGACTGCCATCATCCTAGACCAGTGGTACTAATGCAAGTTGTAGTCCAAGAACATATGGAAGGCCATAAGTACCTCAGCTCTGTGCGAAAAGAAAACATGCTAGGGCATTGTGCGATATCTTGTACTAGCGCTATCTTGGCACTGCTGAAGGGATTGTGCAATGTCTTGTGATAACACACTTCTTGAGGCATTGTTTAGGAGATTATGCAATATTCTGCACAAACAGAACTACTATATGCTTCAGATTGTAATTCTCTCTGGTTGAGCAAGAATCATGTGCCAACTAAGAAAAAGCACCTTGGCACACAGAATGGCCTTCCAATTGCAGAATGGCACACTTGGTTCAAATGCCCTAGATATAAAATTACCACTAATGTTGGTACGAGATACAATCAAAAATTGGATAAAATCAGTTACAGCACTGCCAAGGTCATCAACTGCACCTAAAACTGGCACAACACTAAGGCTGTCATTAGATTGGAAAAGCTGACCAACTGTATACATTTAATTAGATCAAAAGAAGAAAGCACTTGCAGTAACAATTTTACTTACAAAATTCTGCAACTGGGGCATGCTTCTAATATATTTGACCCCATTTAGGACACAGTACTATAGACATTTAGACAGAAAAAGGCATCTGGCTGGAGGATGCTGGGAGTTACAGGACTTATTTCTGGCTAAGCATACAACAGAAGTGCACTTTTAAGTGATCAAACCAACTGACTTAACCATTGTACCACTTCTACAAGCAATGAAAGGAAAATCAGCAAAACCTACAAAGATTAAACCGCTCATGGCACAAAAACCAAAAGATTCCATTTCCTAGCAAAATGAGAGTTCATAAAATTTGAGTTAATCAGATGATATTGTATGATTAAACATGCTCTTCTTTACCAAAACCTGTATGATGACTATTCTCAGCTTCGATCTTGAAAGGGTTATTTTTACCATTTAGTATTTTATATAAATTTTATGTAACTAACAACCAATGGGTATCTTAAAACCCATGAAAACAGTTAATAAAAGCAAATTCAAATAGTGAACCAGCCTGAATCACTTTAAAGTAATGGTGGGGGAAATGTATGACTGAACACAGTCCCAGAATTCAGATTTCCACAGAATTACCACAGACATCTTAGGGTTCACTTTTAACTTGAACTCCAACACATCAGGTTTTATTATGTTTAACTCAGATTATATTTGAAGGACATTCTAGTTCCACATCTGCCATACTGAAATATAGTTCTACAAGGAAGCTGTATGAACTGTTTTTCCTATATAACCAGAATGGCTCTTTAGTTCACTGAGTACCCTTGAGCCCAGCCTTACTTTCCTACCACCATTCAGAGTAACAAATCTAAAATGCAACTCAGGACTTCTTTGTCAAAAGGGGAGGTTAAAAATATGCAACTCACAATGATGGCTGCTACAAGTCATACATTTACAGATGCTGCAGCAGCTAAATGCTTTAAAAATACAAAATACATTTACATATCAACATGGAAAACTAGGTTGCTTTCCATTCAGATGAGTTATAAACTCCATTTTTTCCAAAATGAATAACAGACTAAGCAAAAATCCAAACCATAAAGTGACAAATGATTTAACCATATATACTTTGTTTTACTAATAACAGAAGGCTTTAGTTAAGTCACATGTGTTCAACGTTTCATTTATTTTCTGTACTTACTTTCCAGCTAGGCCACCTCCTGGTGGTAAATTTGGGATATTCTCTGCAGACAAAATGCGCATAACATGAGCAAGATCTGGCATTCCTTCTTCACCCGACTTCTCCATAATTTCTAGTTAAGAAAGAATCCTCAAATTATTAAAACAAAGAAACAGAAAATTCCACATATCATAAGCAATGCATATGCATTAGGTATACATGCACTTAAAGCATACTTCTGTTTCATGCAAAAATTGGTAGTTGCATAAAAGCACATCAAGATGAAAAGCCAAGGATTCCTCCATTATGCTGACTCACACTAGATATTTGTCCTAGATTCCCTCTCTGCCACTTTTTGTCTAAGGGACTGAAACTATCAGATCAGCATTAGTTTCTCAATAGTTAGCCTAGCATCATCTCACAGAGATTATAGCAGGACAACTTCAACACACCTCTATATACTGTGGGACTATCTTTGCACATGCATTACTTTTAGGCACCATCTATTTGCATTTAACATAGTAAGCCTCACATATAAAGTTAAAAAACCCTCAAGCATTAAAATATCTGGAGAGTGTCTGTGCTAGCCTATCTGGGGGTGGGAGGGGGGAAGCTTGTGGTACCTTAAAGAATAACACACTTATTTTGGCATAAACTTTCATGCAAACAGAGGTAATATTGCATAATTATATAGTCAGATGAGGGGAAGAAGAGCAAAAAAAAATGATGCTTCTTTATCTTATTGGGGGAGTTAATGTCAACATGATTCTGTAATATAGATGGTTAAAACATGTCTGCTTACATAGCCAGAGCAATAGCAAGTGGACAGTTTCAGAACTTTGTCAGATCTCACACCTTATATGGAACATTCAACTTTATGCAGTGGCATTGCAATCATGATCTCCCCCAAATACACAAATGCATATACTTGATGCAGTAAATTCAGCAAGAAATATTCCATTTGCTGTGTTATCATGGAACTTCTGTTTACAGTTTATGTAAAGAATCAATCCTATGGTGCTTTTGATCCTAGCTACAGTATACAATCTCTGAACTTGAAGGTGTTTATTACACTGTGATCTTACACATTTTTTCACTAGGGCTTACTCCCTAGTAAGCTAATCTCACTATGTTCACTAGGCCTCTCTCCCTAGTAAAGTCAAGGATTGTGGCCTAAAATGGCATACTATAGTGACTAGATATTTTTTCCAAGAACAAAATTAAATTTGTTATCAATAGGGCTACATTGCTAGAAATATCACTGTTCAAAACATTTATACTTCTAAGTAAAATTATGTGCAATTGCTGTTTTCAAATATTCACTCAGTGGTTTGTTTTTTGTAACATTTGCTGCCCTTATTCAACAGTTCATGGAATATCTTATCCCTAACTGTAGAGCTATATCTTTTCATAATATTCTATCTGTGCAGGCTGATATGAAACCTAAATTGCCAAACACTGGCTGAATGATAGGCAGTTTATTCTTTAAACAGGACTTTCTTTTCTTATATCTTTTCTTCAACCTTTTCAAAAAGCCTTACTCATTTTCTCAAATTCCCTTTCTTCTGCTCCATATTTACACAGTTCTGACTTCCTCTCCTATTGCTACAAGACCTACCGTACATCTCAGTATCTTTGCATCATCCCAAGGAACATTCTCTAATCGATTAATGCTACTACTTATGCACAAACTCTAACAGAATGGTGCACTAACACTACTCCTGCTTCATGTAGTTGGCTGCTGAAAGGATTTATATTCAATGGAAGAAAAACATGATTTTAGAAGCAGTTTTCAGCTGGCTTTTTCTTCCTTTGTCCCTAAGATTTCTGGGTCAAGTGCCAACTTTTTGTTGTTGTTGTATTGTAGAAAATACCTTCAACAGAATACAACCATCAGTCTTGTAATGTGAAATCTTAGGATCAAATTATATTTTGAATGTAATTCATCTGCAGATTTCAAATTGCATTCTATTCGTACATTAATATCTCAGGTTCTATTCTGCAAGTCTAAAAATGGCATCAGTTAAAAGCAAGGCTGCTTGGGGGATGTTTTGCTTTTAGAGGGCATAGCCACACAACACATTTATTAAATAGTCACACAATTCAAGAGTTTGTTTTGCTTGTTTTTCCTGTCCCAATCCACTGCTCCCTGCCAAATTACAAATCTAAGATGACAAAAGAGCACTTAATATGCTTATTTGTACAGTGGATAAAGTTTAATATATATATAAAGATGTAAGTCAAGAGTGGATCAATCACACATCCTTTCACAAGTACCAATGATGATTGTCTGCTCTTTTTGAGAGTTTATTTCAAAGCATTTTCTCTTTAATATTCTTTTACTCATTTGTAAAAGTATTCTTGTCTAGTATTCTTTTAAGGCATAATCCTATGGGTTGCACTCTCACAAACTTGGAAGTTCCTGTATATCCAGTGCCCTGCTGGGCGGAGTCTGGGAGGGAGAAATTTAAAAAAACAAAACAAAAAGACAACTGTAGCTTTTTCTCTGCACAGGCACATAGCAATGGTGCTTCAGAGAGAGCAGGAAGGAGGCTAGAAAGGGCTCAGAATAGCTTGTATCCTGACTTCTCTGGTAAACCTCCATCCCTGCCCACTAGAACACTTTCTCCTTCTCTCAAGTTTGGTTTTTTGACCTCAGAAGCCAGCTCCACTATCCTATGGCTCCTCAGGGACCACAGGATTACTTCCTTATTCACTCAAAATGTTCAGAAACAGTGGTGATAGCAGTCCAAAATGTTCTCCAAGAGTAACAGTTCAGACTCAGTCTTTTCTGTCCCAAACCTGCTAAGATGAATTCTTGCTTAAACATAACAGATGGACTTAAATTCTCAATAGAATACTAGACTAGACAAAAATCAACAGGACTGGATAACTCATTTAACACATTCTCTTGTTACATCTAAAAAGCCAAAAGGTTATATTGCTCCACAAGAAATTTCTTGCTAAACTGATGCAAAATCACAAGTTGTTCATTTCTGCAACCAGAGTTCAAGCTGCTTATTAAGGAAACAATAGACATTTGTCAAAGGGCACAGTCAGAGTATTTATTGGGGTTCAGATAAATCTGGAAGTAAAAGCAAAGAATAAAGGAAAATAAGTCTGTTCTTCTGTAATCTCTTCTTTTTTTTTCTTTATATTCTTCTATTCTTGAAATAAAACTCCTTCAATACTCTAACTCTCAGCTCTTGTCAAGTATGTGTCACTTAAAGTTGTTACAATTCATCCAACGTACAGGACATTGAATGACTTGGGCAATTCCTGTAGGGAAAAAATCAAAAGCAGCACACATAGTATTGGAAAAAAAGATGGGTAACTTATTCCATTGAATATTTTGGCTTAATGTTACAAATGATCCCCTCTATAAACAAAAGCACCAGAGGTAATACAGAATATGTTCCCTGTACCAAACCAGACTATCATGAACCTTTGGTATGTTTTGAATGTGTCACAGCTTAAAATAGCAGTCAATCTAAAGGAATTTGCAGTCAATCTGATAACAATTACACAGTTTATTGCAGTTCCTTAACACAATTTCAGGTTAGGCTTTTAGGCACCTGGGGTAAAAACTGCTGCTTCTAGTGAAACGCTTAGATTAGGATATCAAATGTTGTATAGCAATGAGACTTTAAAAAGTCATTATTATTTTTTATTATTCTTTAACCTTTAATCTGTTCCTTCTAGATGTAGGTAAGCCTCAAATTGAGTTTACTGAGATAATTGGTGTAGTTTCAGGCATTTCATAGAATTGCTCTTCCAATAAATTCAGCCGTATCACCTGTACTGCTACACACTTGTACACTCTTGGACTAAGCAAGCACTGATTATACATATGACTGTAAGCACATTAAATGCCATGAACCTTTAGTCTGTTTTTAGCTACTAGGTATTGCAAAAAGCAATTTCAAAGTCAGGAAGCACTGTGTAACTGCCATTACACTTGGAGAAGGGATTAAAGAGTGAGCAATACAACACAGCATGGACTCTTACATGAGTCTAGATAACTACAAGCTGGACAAACGCAGCTTATTTGCTCACCTCAAGCCACTGAATGAACCCACTGTGAATGAGGCAAGGCCAACTGAAGTTCAAACATGTACAACCAAAAGGGTGTTTGCAAATCGAAAGGGAAATGTGCACCCATCCTCTTGTGAGCCTATTGGAGAAGTCAAGTTTCTAATAGCATTCTTGAGGTAAACTCGCTCAGCAGCTGTTGTTAGCTTTATCCCACATTGGCTGTCTTTACAACCACCCTCCTTTTCTTAATTGCATCCTCAAGTTTTGAATGCTGTCCTCAACAGAAACTTTATAAAAACTCAAACATAAACATTTCTAAACTCCACAAAACACTGCAAATTTAGTACTACTAGGATTTTTGTACAACTTAGCTATAAATTATGTAATATCTAAAGATTTTACAGCAGTTCTATGCACAATTTTCAGAGGCAAAATGCTTTTCTACTTCACAAAGGGTGGAAACTGGACACATTTAAGAATGGTTACAACCCCAATTCTTACATTGCCACTAAGTTTACAAACAGACTTTGTGCCTGGTAAGACTGAATTCATGCAATGAAACTTACCTTCAGATTTAGCTCCTGAATTCTTTATGCCACATAAACCATCCTGCCTAAACTTCTAAACTTGGCAGGTTATTGCAGTGTATTTTCCATTCTTCTGAAGATTAAGGAACCACACCTGAAGACAAGTAGGTTTTGGATGGAGATCTATTTTCATTGTATATCCAGCTGTGGAATTTTTTATTTTGCATATTATCTGTAAACATACCCTACACTAGACTCAGTAAATACTACAAAAAGTGAAATGCCTAAAGTGTTCCACTTTTGTAGGAGTACAACAATGCAAGAAGCCAAGCCAAGCCTTCCTTATATGCATAAACATTTGGCAAATATATCATTCAGTAAGTAGGAGGGCTGGTGGTAAGAGTTAAATGGCTGAAAGGTAAAAATTCCCAACAACAGATCACATGTATGAGAAGAAAATGAAGAAGCCTTGATAGTTAAAAGGGACATCTTAAAAGGGCACAGGCTCTTGTTTTTCAACTGTAAAAGAATGAGTCTTTCCTAGTCTGCCTCCCTTCCCCAAAACAAGACT